GGCAAGATTGTGTACCATCCAAAAACAGCTGCAGGTATATATATAGTATAGCAACAGAGCATTTGCTATTTCCAAAATGTGTTATGGTGGATTAAGTGCGGACAAAGTCCTTTATTTCCACCCCTACCCTCTCCCCCGCCTGCTCCGGTTGCGCGAGCTTGCCTCTCAGATACATTCCTATAAAAAACCCTATAGAAACATTCCTACACTTTTGATGCAAAGAGATGGTGGAGTGTGGAGCAGGACTCTCTGGTCCCTGATCCCATGTCTGTAGAAATGCCATATAGTTTTATGGACGATCGTTATAGAATACCAGAACCAGAAAGCGATCTCCATATCTGCATTCTTTACTGGAGTAACATATGATGGTGTTTCAATAGACTGTAGATGAACTGTGCCAACCTCATGCCTCTTGCAGGGCTTGCAGAGAGCTGTTGGTGCGAGGAATGTGCCCTTGCTTCTTTCTTTTCAAGAACCAAGCAACAGAAGAGGAAATCAAAGCGGAGCTAGCAAAGAAGGAAGCCGCGAGACAAAAGGCTGAGAGAAAGAAAAGGAAGAACCCTCCCCTATGGCGTGTGAAAGGGACGTGGCACAACCAGATCGTCATGGCCCTATTTGGCTTCGCATGTAAGTCACTTTCCTCTGTACGAATGGGAGGACGTTGAACCGTATGGCAGATGTTATGCAAGTCTTAGTGCCCTTTTTTACGATGGAATATTAGACACACGCCTGCCTTGGTGATAAATCTGAACAGCATGAACAGGACAAACCGGATCGAAACCCAGCCTTTATGTCAAGATCTACCCAAATATCCAGTAGATTTTGTTACGTCATTTCATTTTCGTGAATTTGGTCCCATGGGATCAAGTCCTTATTTCTCAGAACCGTAACATGCCAAAGTAGTAGGTATATGGTGACAAAACAAAAACATCTCACATGTAACTGGCAAGTGTTTCTACCAACTTGACGTAATTCAACTCTTGGCCGATCCCAGCTATCTCCTATACTCTTGATATAGATTAGCTCAACATGTCAATAGTTGATTTTAAAGAAAATGTTGCACATTTGAGGATATTGAAGCAAACATCAGACATGATGACATAAGCTCACTGTTAACTACTGGCACACTTTTCAGTGAAAACGACCGCTTTAGACAACACAATGTTTCTGTTTAGTAAAAGATGATAAAATGATAGATAAATGAGAAATAATAAGTAGAATAATTCAGCTCCTCAATAGGCCATTATTTAATAACGTCATCATACCACACACAGAGTTGATCGAGAGCCAACGGACGGACGTTGTATCTGGAACTCGTGCTCACGAACACCAGATATGAACGACTCGACGATTATATTTTTATTTGCTTTGATCACCACATGGCCACTGAAACGGCAGGACATGAATGGCGCCATGGACGCCTGGGTGACATTGTCTCCCCAAAATAGTTTGCATATATTCAAGGGCGCGTAGCTAAAAAAAACTAGAGGGTTTAAAGTCTTAAGAAGAGCAGGGTTGTAAACCGCACCGAGTGACCGTCAAGGCGGCATTTTTGTTCAAAACCCAATACACATGTGGAACATTGTCATCAACGCGCCGAAAGCACGTTAGATATTAGTTCGTGTTGAGCTCACGAGTTCATCACTGCAACTACCGTGAGCAACAATATTCAAACAATAATAAAGCACCTGAACTTTTTGAACAATAGCCTGACGGCGTTTCTCAATTTTACGCAACTAAAGCCGCACGCCAGCTCGTGTCTGAACGTTAGCATATCCTGCCCTTTCGAGAGTCCAGCACTATTTTCTCTGCGTCAAAGGTGCGTGAAGATTTAAGTTAACATGTGATTATCAGCAGCACCGTTTTAAATAGCCAACTTCTGTCAACTTTATTCGGGATATATTTGAACCATTAATGGGATTCATTAGCGTTCCTATGGGGGGTCCATAGCAAGAGCCCTATCTGACGAACTCTGAATATACTGGCCAATTCAGGGCTCCAGTCGCGTCGCAGTCTACGTACTTCAGTCGGACCAAAAGGCGTAAGGCAACTCAATGTAGGCTCGCAGGGAACCGCCTTTACATTTCACCATTGGCCCGCTTAAGTACAGGCTGGGGCTTCCCTACGCCTCAACAGGGTCAGACAGGATAGAGCCGCTTTTGAAAGCAACTAAGGGACCCCTTGGTAGCCAGATGAACTTTGAGGTACGAAAGGGACCTTGCGCCACTAAAACGATCCCGAGCATCCAGAAGGTCATGCTGATATAGCGGGCTCTGACTAACAAGGCCCTGAACGGAACGTAGGACACCTGATAGCCCAGAAGGGCCTTTTAGTGGCCAGAGGGCTTCTCAGTGGGCAGAGGGCTCTTAAGTAGTGTAAGCCACCTTCCAGCGGCTAGACGAGCCTCTGAGCAGTCAAAAAGCCACTTAGTGACCGAAGGGGAACTGACCAGATCAGAGACTAAGAACCCTGATATATGACCCTCAGTTGGGTTCCTATACACTCATTCCCCAATATGGAACCCCGGACCCCCGTGTCTCAAGCCTCCCAGTGCCCAGGGATTCCATCCCACTCTTTCACTGAACTTTACCAAAATTCGAACTTGGTACACTATGGCCTTCAGAAGACCAAAGCTGCTATCCACCCTCCCTGACGGTGGACGCTTCAGTGTATGTCTAACACTCCTTCACATTTACTGCGAGGATAGGTTGAAAAATAGCGCCACGCGAGGTCCCTCACTCGTACGCTGCTGAAGTGCTGCACTGCACCGTCTATTAGGTGTTTTGGTTTGCTTGGTTTTACGGAAACCTGCCCGAGTTCTGGCATTATTTGCGCGGTACGCAGTTCAGTACATTGTAGAATCAAACACATCGCGCGTATGGTTTTATATTGCCGTTATGATTCAAGCTAATTTGAGACACTGGCTGCTCTTGCCTCGGGTTTTGTTCGACGGTACGTCAAGTCAGCGGTGGTAATGACATAAGGCTATGGCGGAAAAAGGAATGGAACACAATTGCTGCGGTTCGGCAATTCGCTGGGTTGGTGCTGTCAACACGTTCAACGACACACGTCGCCAATATTTCCTGTAGTTGGAGTCAATCCCATTCATCAGCTTCAGTGAAATACGCACATACTTGCATATCCACCCAATCAACTTAAGTTGTCATCTAAGCTGTGTAGAATTTGACACGATGTTCCATTTGGTTGGGCCATGTTAGCCGAACAGTGTCCTAGTGCGCCTTATAGAGTGCCCTGTTTAGCCGGCCACGTCATGCCGTGCTGTCATCCATCATCTATTGATCTGTCGCGCACCCGAGTGAATGCCGACAGAAATAGACTAATGTCGGCCTGCGGGCTTCCGTAATGAGCACTCACAGAAATGCATCATATCAAGATTTTATAGATATGTATGACCACTTGCATACTGAATGAACTTATTTTTACATGGGTCTGTTTTGTTGCGTGGAGTCGCAGCATGTGTGTAGCAGCAACATATGATTATCTGGGGGCGTTCCTGTTTCAGGCGGTGCTGCATCCACAATAATCATCTACCTGTTCATGGTGTTCCAACTGACGTACAACCCCTTTACCGCCACCATGTTTTGTGTGGCCATTGGTCCCTTCCTAACCATAGGACTGGCCTTCAGTGAAGAGTTCAGGTCAGTACTTGGTGCTTGGAGTAAGCCAACGCTCATGTGGACAGGAATGTATTCAGGTCAAGCCGCAAGCGCTTTGAGATTTCAGTCGGTTTTGAAACGTGTCTAACTTTGTTCCAAGTGAGGTCTTTGGGTTAGCACCCGATCAAGAGATTGGCGCGGAAGAAAACCAGGCAGGAACGTTCTTGGAAGTGATGTTCATTGGTTAATGCAAACAAAGAGCATGCAGACAGTAACCTAGAACATGCCGAGATGTGGTAGGTGTTTGATTGCACTGACATGGATCCGGTGCTTCACATGCATTGCCGAATTTAATTCGCCAGACAGTTTGAACGAAACGAATATAGAATGTCATCCCATTTAGGTGGAACACAGACAGGCCCAAGAATCTGAACCTGAATTTGAATCTTGTGTATTTGGTCTGAGCACGAGTCCAAAACCCATCCTTATCACGTTGCACGAATCGCAACCCGAGTCCAGTCATTTTCATGCTTCAAAATTCCTACAGCATCGCACAATACGCAGATCACGTAGAGTCGGATTTGTACCAGCAGATCCTGCGAGGGAAAAAACTGGGGGTAGAAAATTGCATTTTAACCCGGTCTGGTCTTTAGTTCACATGCGTATACTTTATTGACGACATTCCTGATGAGAAAAAAATTGCATTTACGAAGTTAGCACTTACAAAATTGTAGGTGTGTACTAACAGCCTGAAAGTTTCAGTAACCATTGCTAAGTCTTGCGCAACCTAGCCCAAAAACAGTTCAACCTTACCGCATACAGCCGCACCCAACTTAGCCAACCTCAACAAACCGCAACCACTATCCAGCATAAGGCCCAAAGCAACATGATAAGCACAGAAATACGTACTAATATCGTATGAAAATAGAAGTATTGGACCATATACTCTGTACCAAAATTCCTCCTTCCAAATATGCTTTAATTAAAAATATACCTTTATTCGTGGTTAAAATGTAACAATCAGGGTGTATTGCAAACCCCACTCTTCTAGAATAGCCTTTCCAGAAACTTTGAATCCGAGCTAATTCCTGGATCCTGGTGTGTCCAGTCAAGCCTCAGTCCGGGTCCCAGGGTTTTATGAATCGATAAGTCCGAGTCCAAGTTCGATTCAGCTACAAAATCAATCGAAACACTTGAATACGAGCCACGAAAAATCATCAGTTCGATCGTGACCCCTCGTCTGACTGGACACAGACCTACGCCTTGATGGAGGCGGTCGTGCCGAGTATTTTGTTGCATATCATAAGACTGCTTCATGGCTTGTCATACAAGGTTGTCTGAATGTTGTTTGAACGTGACGTCAGTTTCCGTCCCCGCAGACTGATGGGCATCCTGGTCTTCCCGTACATGTTCGCGGGACGAGGCCGGGCCATGTTGCTCTCGTTCTGCCTCGTCCTGGCCGTCAACGGGCCGGGCAAGTCCATCATTTTCAACGCCGAAATTCTCAACGACTCGTTGGCGTGCTACTATGTGAGCTTTGCTGAACTAGTGCTTCCACTGGCCTGCAGTGGCTTTTATGTTAGACGGTGCAACTCAAGCGCACAGTGCAGTCATTGCAACGTAATAAATATGATACCAATAAGTGTGATACGGGATTGCGATTTCAGTGACTTCCCATGTCGAATATATGTGGATGTAGTTTGTATCATGTGCATGGCTAATGGATATTAATACAATGTATTGCATATAAATGCGAAGTCAAGGACGTAACCGCTCACATCACGGAGACGTTGATGTGGAGGCATTTAACATGTATATTTCAAAATTCGTATAGCGATGCTGGTCCATGAACTGCAGAATACGATTCAAATACGTACATGCAATCAATTACACGCTTATGCACTTTTCCTCCACAGAATATTCTTGTGAACACCATATGCGATGTCATCAAGCAAGGACTGAATGGCATAATGAGTGTCGTTCAAGCCATCGTTAGCATGGCAACCAAAATGATGTCGATATACAAAAGTAGGTTATTTTACGGCCATCGTCGTTCACGATGAGCCGCTGCAGCCATGCCCTTGACAAGCATTTCTGTCCATGACTTTTGGGCGATTCGACATAGAGCCTTGAGCTGTTTAACTTAAGCCAACAAGTTTTTTCATTTAGCTTGCGACATAAACCGTTAACAAACATATTAAATGGAGAATTACCTTATATTGCTTTAAGAATGTGACAGTGATATGCTTAGTGCAACATCGACCAAATAACACATAACGTATCTTTGCTTTTCGTTCCACTGTTATGGTCATAGCTGAGTACAGTTCAACAAAACAGGCAACTAAGTAGCAGTCAGACAAGAATGTTAAATCGAATACACTACGACTGGAGGCATGGTTACCGTGTATATCGGCGAAGATCATCCTAGCTATGGCCTGTTCTTTAAGATACACACCACAGGTTCGCTCTGTGCGCACATGTTTACGGAATGTATATTGGTTGATTTTCGTGGTCAATGAACAGTGTTTTGACCCATTCACTCTGTCTTTCAGAGGTGATGAAGGTTTTCACCCAAATCAAAAATGCGCTACTCGATATCGGTGAGTTTGATGAACCGCAGTGCCTACCATGTACAGAGTATTCAATTGTTATTGCGCCACATACCCTGGGAGCCCCGCCTGAACTGGTCGTGTCTATTTGGTGGCAGCTGCCGTCTCAGCTGGCCTTCTCTCTGTCCGCAGGAGCCACCTGAACTGGCCGTGTCTCTTTGGCGGCAGGTGCCGCCTCAGCCGGCCTTCTCTCTGTCTGCAGGAGCCGCCTGAACTGGCCGTGTCTTTTTGGCGGCAGGTGCCGCCTCAGTTAGCCTTCTGTCTGTCCGCAGGAGCCACCTGAACTGGCCGTGTCTCCCTGGCCGCAGGTACCGCCTGAGCTGGCCGTGTTTCTCTGACAGCAGATGCCACCTGAACTGGCATCGTCTCTCTGACCACAGGCGCCGCCTGAATGGCCGTGTCTTCCTGGCCACAGGCGCCCCTGAGATGACTGTGCCTCTTCGGCCGCAGGTGCCGCTCTTCAGAGCTCGTTCACGTGGCTTCAGGCCATCGAAGGCATCTGTGACGAGAAGTACGGTGGCCCGGTGGCGCGCTGCGAGAAGACCTTCAACGAAGCCACTGACAACTGCATGGCGCAGTTGGGACTCGGGTCGCTCAACTATCACCTTTGCAGTATTGTGGACTGGTTCAAGGGCATCTGTATATTTGCGCACGTGATTGAGTACCTGTGTCAGCCGGCAAGGGGAGCCAGGAAGGGGAGCGTGGACGACGCGAGGAGCTGTAAGTACCGGAAAGCACAGCAAAGCGCGGTGGGATGCGGAGAGCGTATCTTTTACGTGCGTAACGCATAACGTTGTCGTGACTAATAAGGTCATTGGTTGAGTAATTGGCCATGCATGCAGTTTAGAGGCTCCGTCGCTGTCCACTTAACCTGTTACATCCAACTGCATGCATGCAAGTTGTCATGTGTTGTCATGTTGTCAGGTCACTACATAGTCATAGACGTTCTCTATGATCTCAGACATGTACCAGGCGTCCGGCAAGTATCGCAGCTTCTTCCTCTTCGGACTGGAACTCTACAGCGACTTCGACATGAAGGTCAACATGTCTAAATCGCTGAAGCAGATTCGGAAGGAAATCTTTGACGAGGTCGTCGACAGAGGAGGATGGGTGTTCTTCGTTATGGACGCGTTTAGCTGGACATGCGTCGTGTACATCTTGCTGATATTGGCCAAGTGAGGCATTTTAAGATATATCGTGCCATCTGTGTGCATGATCAATATTAACCAAATAAGAGTATCTGCGCTATATATAAACAGTGCCTGAGAACACACTAAGAAAAGCCGGGCTTTATTTGCACCAACTTTTCTCTGCCAGCCTTTGTTTGTTGTCGCAATTTTTCTAGCAAAACTTTAAGAATCCCCTTCACATTCACAACATGTCAGAATAAAACTCGTAATGTTTGTAATCAGTTACGCATACTCATTTCCAAACAAAGATATATGAAACATTGGTGCGAGTACGAACAGAGGTTTCATGTGCCGTAGGAACAGAAGCCCCATGTGCGGTGGGAACAGAGGTCTTATGTGCAATAGGAACAGAGGTCTCATGTGCAGTAGGAACAGAGGTCTCATGTTTGCAGGGCCGCGATGTACCGTTATCGGTACGTCACAGACGACGGATATGACAACCACTACTTGTCCGTGCTCATCAAGAGAGTGGACGACAAACGGGAACAGATGGAAAAGCCTACTATTCTTCCGCTGAAGACAAGGGAGCTGAGACGCTACGTCGATGTATGTTGTGCTCTTTTCGTAACCCTTTTTAGTCGCATCACCGTAGCACGCGTGCTGTGGAACGTCAAATGGAGAGTTCAGTTGTAAGGCAGTGATTGTCAACAGACGGTGCGCGGGACACGATCCATGCGGTGAAGGTGTAGCCCACGCTGTAATTACTTACGACATTGGGCTCATAGTTATTCATGATATGCATGTTGTAAGTGATCCTGGGTGCGATTTGAATTGGTCATGAATAACTCACAAGTCTCTTTCGCACAGGCATGAAAAGCTGCGTGTGTGAAAAATGTAACGTTGCGTGTTGCACGTATCAAGACATTAGTTAACAGCGAAGTCTTAAAACGCGTTCGGCTGGGGGTTAATCTCCCCAGAAGGTTTTTACAAAATAATTTTCGAATGGCGCGGCGTAGCCACACCAGGCATTGCATAGTTGTAGGCAAGTGAATAGCGAGTCCTTTGGAAGACAAAATAAGATGTACCTTGTAAGGCAGCTGGCCTATAACAGGCAAATATGAGGCCGTGGCTGTCAGCGAAGACAATCTCTAGGGAGTCATTCAATCTGATGCGACAACGGAGTATTAGATGAAGTCATACACACCTAAAATAGTTTATTGGGCAATAAATGATTAAATTTACAATGAGTCCTATTAATCTAGAATCAGGTATGAAGGTCAGACCGAGGTGAAAAACAACTGTTTTTGTACTGGAGAGCTTGCTTCATGGGGCAGTTTTCATACATATTTCAAATTAATTGATGACAGAGACCGCAGTGGACATCGTCTGTGGACTTCTTAAAGGTAAGAGTGGGCCACTGACCTAAGATGACCCGGGTCAATATTTTTTTAGAGCATGACTCTTGGCATAATCCTTGGCGCTGATTAAAATGGGAAAAATTCAAAGCAGCCTCGTAGGCCTTCGATCACCATGACTTTTTAATGGTAAACATAGGTACTGGTCCTAAATGAACACCAATTACCTTTTGGTTAGAGCAAAAATGTTGATTCAAGGCGGTCGCATGAGGAGGTCTGGGGGCACTTTGGACACTAATCTGGAGTTTGGCCTGATTTAACCTCATTTGACCACAAGGTGATCGCTTAGAAGGCTCAAACCCTGAAACAAATGAGCTTGCATTCAGGTCAACCCACCCCGTGAACTTGATTGGGTGCCTCTAACTCTCCCAGTTATTTTTCAATCTCAGGACCAAATTGACGGTGTACCCGAGCAAAGGGTATGCAACCGGCCACCCGGGCGCATGTTAAACTGGTCACACGTGCTATTTTAGCAGACGGACAGCTAAGGTAACTGCAAAACCCATCCCGATGGATACGGTATTTGTAGGTGAAGGTTCGAAGGGTCTTGTCAGGTTTTTTTTCTTTTGCAACCATCTCTATCGGGCTAGGTTTGATGTCATCGCGGCCGTGGTTAAAGCTGTTCACATGCTTTGGCGAAAACCATTTGCACTTAAATGGCTTTCGTCAACACGACTGAGGGCCCTTTACAAGCTGATGCTTGCGAAATCGTAAGCGTATGTGCTTCTTTTGAACAGATGTGGTATGTTTCCGAGCTGCATCGTTATATGCGTAAGTTGTTTGCGTACATATTTCACCGACATCAGCAAATATCTTAATATTAAGCTACAGCGGCAAGTACTATTGACCACATGCTCTCCAACCTCGGGACAAATTTAAAACCATAATCTATCGGAATGGTATGAAATATATAATGAAAGAGAAAAAGGCACTTGATAAACACCTTCTACGTTTATGTTTTCAATATTCCATGCAATCAAATTGTTCATAACCATATTGTAACGCCTGCTCTGAAAGCTGATGGAGACGTGCCCTGGCGAAGCCGGATACCAACCCCAGAACGGGCGCATGAATTATCTGAGCCGACGCAGACTGATCAAATGGTAACTCACCAAAGGGGACAACTTATCAAAGAGCCCTCGAGTTGAACAAATACAGGGAATGGAAGTGGATCTTTTCATACTACTACCTAATGAAAAAGGGGAAAGCAAAGCTATACGATGACGTGGAGGCGCATAACCTGGGAAAGTTCTCGTATGCACACAACAAGCTCCGACAAGCAAGCTTTCGGAGCTGAAAGCCATTCGTGCTAATACACTCAAAACACGTGCAATGCAAATGTTTATTTTTTGTTATCGGAGTTGACAAAGTAAAAGCACGCCGAAAAATGTTATGCTGTGAAATGTTAACATTTGGTTCAAGTGCTGCATTACCGCAGGTGTAGTACCTACGCGCAGGTAAGCATCATGTTCTGTCTTTCAACTGATCTTGGCACAATACTATCAGCATCCGCTAAAGCAGCGACCCGTGACCTTGACCTCAGACATGACCTCCGCAGCCTACGTCGCTGGCCATGACACGGACGGAGATGCGCGAGCTGACCAGAGTGGCTGTCAATCTGCTGGCCACCGGCTTCCAGATCGGATACCTGATGTTCGTCGATACGGCCCTCTACTTCATCATGGAGACCATCCGTCGCAACGGCTACGTCAAGACTAACTTCAGGCGCAAAGGTGGCGCGTGCCAGATGAATGGCCCGAGGAAGGGGCACTCGTGTTAACGAAGACGAGTAGCGTTGTTAGTGACGTATCAACTGTAGAGACATCCGCAAGCGTACCAAGCGCAATCCGGGAAATGGATGCTTATAATCATCCATCCTCACAGTCGCATTTATCTCGAACGGAACTGCGAGTCGCTCAAACCGGCCCGTTTTAGTTGCTCTGTGACCCAATCACAATTGAATGATTTGGGTGATTTCTGCTAGTAATTGTATTCCTTTCAGGTCATCACACACTATTTGGCCGTCCATTAATGCGTTGGGTATTTCGTCCATTTTCAATCTTCCCTTCCCCACCCACCCCACCCCACCCACCAACCCACTGGTTACGCTGTCAAAATCACAACCCGGCAAACCACACCTGACAAAATCACCATCTACTGGTTATGTTGTGTTCGGTGTGATAACTAAAGACTAACGTCTGTCTGGCCTTTAACTGAGCTAAAGATGTGAACCAAATTTATGGACGCATTCCATGTCATGGTAAAAGGCCAATCGTATCCAGCTCGGAGGTTTTAATTTGTTTTCAAAGATTTTAGCATGATTTGCAGCCACACCTTGGCGTAGAGTTCCGCTGTCAGCATCTCCTCGCCCCTCACTTGTTACGCTTCCGTTATGATCCAGTCCTATTCCCCTCCATGCACAACATAATTTATGGACTGCCCTATTTGAGAACACCAAAAACAATCACTACGTTAAAAAAACATCACGAAGCTTTCTCCGTGAGATGTGTGGAAAACAATCCATATGTTACCCTCGCTCACTCCTCCAATTTGTAAGCGAGGGATACTTCAGTAGCTACGTGTCCACAGAAATGATCCGTCAACGGCAAATGATCCGTCAAAGGCAAACAAACCCTGGTAACACCACTGAACCCCGTAGGGCACACAAAGGTGTTCAAAGGGTTTTATCATGTTATCGTTGCTGGATAGATGGATCTTAAGTCAGTTTTGCGTGCTGCCATGTTGACAAATTGAGTGCCGCTGTTAATCATGGAACAGTGGGGACGCGCAACTCACGAGTCCCATGCCGGGGTTGTGCCGATGGCAACCACGCTCAGTGCGAGAATGCCGTCGTGGCCGAACATTTGGAGTGGCACCTGGCAGAGCAGCCAGCAGTGTAAGGCTACCTCCTGATGAATTCGGTCTGAGCAATTTTAAGACAGCACCAAGTTCGTTGTATATCCCGATATTGTGTGTAGACACGCTAGTGGTCAGTCATGACAGTCGCGCTTCGGCGCACACGAGTACGGGCTGACTGGTTGTCGTCGGCGTCATCGCTTGTCGTTGCGCTCTCCAGTCAACACATCGTACGCCGGGCGGGGGCATAAAACTGTAGGCTTGGCGATAATAACCAAGGAAGGCGAGAGAATCGGCTCCTGGAATGAGAGGAGGCCAAACAGGTTGTGTGTGCTTGACATGTATGCGGTGAAATATTTCCGCTTGAATGTCTTTTTCTGTGAAACCTTGAACTTGACATGACAGCAGACGGCACTTTCGACAGTTCCCGCCAAGGCGGTGGTGGAGGGGAAAGGCTTCATGGCTGACGCCATACGTTCCACCTTCGAGAAAATGCCGTCGTCCTTCTCGGCCAACCTGCCCGAGATCGACACATCCGAGTGTGTCCCGTACGGCTGGCCACCCAACCACGACCGCTACAGACAGATCGGTCAGTGCAGGATGGGTACCGGCCGGGCGGTGGTCCCACTCCGCTGGACCGACGGTGGTCCTACCCTGCCGGACCGGCGGTGGGCTCACCCGAACGGACCGATGGTGGTCCCATCCGAACGGACCGGCGGTGGTCCCACCGGGACGGACCGACGGCGGTCCCACTCAGCTGGACCGGCGGTGGTCCCACCGTGACGGACCGGCGGTGGTCCCACCGGGACGGACCGGCGGCGGTCCCACTCAGCTGGACCGGCGGTGGTCCCACTCAGCTGGACCGGCAGTGGTCCCACCGTGACGGACCGGCGGTAGTCCCACCGGGACGGACCGGCGGCGGTCCCACTCAGCTGGACCGACGGCGGTCCCACTCAGCTGGACCGGCAGTGGTCCCACCGTGACGGACCGGCGGTAGTCCCACCGGGACGGACCGGCGGCGGTCCCACTCAGCTGGACCGGCGGTGGTCCCACCGTGACGGACCGGCGGTGGTCCCACCGGGACGGACCGACGGCGGTCCCACTCAGCTGGACCGGCAGTGGTCCCACCGTGACGGACCGGCGGTAGTCCCCACCGGGACGGACCGGCGGCGGTCCCACTCAGCTGGACCGGCGGTGGTCCCACTCAGCCGGACTGACGGTGGTCCTACCCGAACGGAGTGATGGTGGACCCACCCAGCCCGACAGGGGGTGGTCCCACCCGAACGGACCGGCGGTGGTCCCACCTGGACGGACCGACGGCGGTCCCACTCAGCTGGACCGGCGGTGATCCCACCCGAACGGACCGGCGGTGGTCTCACCCGAAAGGACCGAAGGCGGACCCACCTGGACGGACCGACGGTGGTCCCGCCCAGCTGGACCGGCGGTGATCCCACCCGAACGGACAGACGGTGGTCCCACCCGGACTGACAGAGGGAGGTTCCACCCAGCTGGGCCGGTGATGGTCCCGTCCGAACGGACCGACGGTGGTCCCACCTGGACGGACCGGTCCGCCAGCTCAGGGAATCCACTGTAGTGTAGACCGGGGCAAGTCCTCCACCCTGGGGCCAGACAATTAGCTCAAGTCTTGAAAGCTAACGAATCTTCTACACCATTCACCTTTCTGGCGCATGTTGAATGTCGTACAACAGTGCTGAGAACCCGATAAACATTTCGGAGTGGTATTGAATTATTTTTAGGTGAAAACTCTGGCAAAGAAATGTAAGCCAATGTATACACATAGCTTCCTTGCAAGAGTCAGAGTTGTTGCGGTCCACTTGCGGGGAAAACGCCAGAATTTGATTCGAACTCGCCTGAAGCTTACTGCACTACTTTGCATCTCGTGACTGTGGCGGAGAAAAGTGGGCTGGAAGGAATGAAAAGTGGGTAAAATTAGGCACGGAAAAGTGCTAACATCTGTGAAGCCGCTCAATTTATTCAAGGAAAGGACCTGCGGAATGCCCTGCGTAATAAAGTGGAGAAATATGTAGGAAACCGAGCGGCGCAGTTGTCATGTTAGATGCCACTATTGCGGTAAATAACTGCCTTCAGTTTGATAGGGGTGTTTCGGGAAGAATTATAGACGGTGGTAGTCGGTTATGAATGATGTCAAAATCATTGAAGAATGCCTGGGATGCACGAACCAGCCATGACATTGGAAGTACATCCTCCCCGATGTCAAGACACTCTGGGTGCACATATGGTTGCATCAAAGGGCACATTGCTGTTAGGAAACTGCATTGCCCGAACAACATTCCAACGAACATGAGAAGCCCAGTGGACATCCCTTAATGGAAGCATTTCCCCGAGTATGGGGTAAACAACGTTTTACATGAATCCGCCTTTCGTCTTCCTTTTTTGAGTTTATGTTAATGTGACAGCGCCCAATGGCTTGCCAAAGTTAACCCGTCTAACTGTAAGTGCACTTTCACTGTGTAAAAGACCGCATTGGACCCAGCACTGTTCGAGAACTAGGCAGGGTTCTCATGGGTGGTAGCTGACCCACAACAGCAACGGGCTGGATCAGCATGGGCGAGCCAGCTCGTGGGATATGGTATCAGCTCCCGTAGCCTTAATAGTTTGGACGGCAGCTGTTACGGCCTGCTGGCTCCATCCCTGCGCCATGCTGCCGGCTCGACGCAAGTCGTTCTCACCGGCTGCTGTTTATGCCTCAAAATACGATCGGCTGTCATGGTCATGCATGCTTCAAGTACGCCTGCAATGATGGTTCTGGACAGTGAAGCATAGATTAGCCGGTACCCACGCGCATGGGAGTGAGTGTGGCGTCAAGAGCGAAGCTCCGCTCCCTGTAAGCGTTCAACTTTAACGCTGTGGTGATGCGTGGAAAAATAGTGGCAAAAAAGCAGTCGGGCTCACCGCTTAGGAAACCCTCCTATGTCTCTGCACATACATGCTTGCGTTCAAGCTGTTGAGCCTTACGCTACTCAGATAGACTGTTACAGTACTAGACTACACAAAACTGAGCTCTGCCGGATCGGCATCAAGCAACCAGACAAGCTCCCTGTCACGCATAGGCGAGAGGTGTAGCCTCGGACTCGCGACTGCTTGTCAGCGCTGTCGTGGCGTGCCTTACAGAGGGATACGGTCCCCGACCGATGCTACGTGTCCGTTCCAGTGCTGTTCTACCTGATGGTGCTGGCAGAATAGCCAGCGAGAGGTGTAGCCTCGGACTCGCGTGGGTCTGCGACCTCTGTGATGGCGTGCATTACAGAGAGATGTGGTTCCCGACCAACGGGACGTGCCCGTTCCAGTGGTGTTCTACCTGATGGTGCTGGTGTTCGGGCTGATGCAGCCGCTGGCGCTGCGCCTGCGACACATCGCTTGCGGCTGGTACTACCCCGAGCGGGCCAGGAAGCGGGCGCTCTGGCTCTACAACGCCATCCTGAAGCGACGCGGTGGCTTCATCTCGTTCGTGCAGCGGACGCTCCGCAGGAAACAGCTGGTGGACCCCAACATGAATGTGCTGGGCAAGATCCTGGAGCGGCTCGCCATATCGTGAGTTCGAAGGCCGTGGTGTCTGAGCTTTGGGATGGAGATACTTCGGCTAGCCTCCCTCCGTTGGCTTGAGGGTTACTGGACTCTATTTGGAACGGTGTTCAGCTTCCCTCCACGCTGCTACGAGCATTACTGTCGCGTACGTGGTTTGGATCGGATCAAAATAAGCCAGAACATGGTTTACTTGAACGCAGCAGACCTGTTGTTCACGTGGTATCATCAACGCCGAGTCGTTTCAGGTCTCTTGCCTACATAAATCATGGTTTCGCCCAATTTCAAAACTCTTTCATCTAACGTATGACTCTTCAAAATCGTGGGGGTCATTACCAGGTCCATTAAGGGCATCAGTCCGGCCAGTGTTAGGTAACGCCAGAAACGTTCCGCTGTCTGCAGGATACCATGCTTGCGCATGGTGATGACCTACATGGGCATGGTGAGGGTGTACTGCGGAGTTTGCTCGGAGAGCTTTGACCCCGAGAGTGACTCGGCCTCGTTCCGACGCTGTGCGAATTACGGCTGCGAGGGCGTCTACTGCAACGAGTGTTTTGCTGACATGAACAACCGCTGCACCATTTGTCTAAAGCCTGTCGACTACGGCGACATCTCCGACATCAGTGAAGAAACGTAAGCGCGGCGAGGCTCAATGCAATGTCACCTGAGGGTATCTTTACAAACATGGATATGTGATTGTTGGTTGGCCTCTCTCAGACGAGCTGTCGTCATTGGACGGCGTTGGAACGGACGGATGGCCTACCCGCCAGGTAGACGCGTGTGAGATAGGCCGGCCACCACACTCACTCGGACCTCGAAATAGGTTCGCCGGAAGGCCGTGTGTGTGTGTGTGTGCGTGTGCGTGTGTGTGTGTGTGTGTGTGTGTGTGTGTGTGTGTGTGTGTGTGTGTGTGTGTGTGTGTGTGTGTGTGTGTGTGTGTGTGTGTGTGTGTGTGTGTGTGTGTGTGTGTGTGTGTGTGTGTGTGTACGTCTGTTTGAGCCTGTGTGTGTGTGTGTGTGTGTACGTCTGTTTGAGCCTGTGCGTGCTTGTGTGCGTGCATGCGTGCCTGCGCATGTACGTGTGCGCACGAGCGCGGGTGTAAGTTCTTGACAAAACTGTAGGAATACGTGCCATGATGTGGAACCCATACCCATCTGACTTTCGATGCTAAGTTTGAATACAGGGTGACAAAATGAGATCATCTAAAATAGCCTCACTAATTTCAATAACTCGATAAGTTGAGATCATTACAATCCGGCAGCCTGACCACAGCGGCACAAATTCAATGGCAGCTCATTCTACGGAGTCGAGCTCGCTCTCATACGCCGTTTTCCTCTTTCAACGCTTGGTCCGAAATCTTCGCTACGCCCGTCTCAACGGGGCGTGTTGCAGCTGTTAGCTGAGCCAGTGGCAAAGCCAGGATTTCGCCCAGGACCCTGGCTATGGCGCACGGGTGTAAGGGACTGTTCCTGTCTTAGGGTCCCGCATCTTAATTGTGGGACTTTTTGCGTTCTGAGTGTCAGGGATAGGTGACATGCTTGAACCATTGTCATAAGTCAGCATGAGCCTTGCCTGAGCGCTAGTGCAAATCCCGAAGAACGATTTCTGTGCGGGACAAGGATCTTTGGCGGAGTCATCTCATAATGACCGCAGTGTTGCCCTATCTCCCATCTCTCCACCTAGTTCGATTTCTCTGAGTCATCGCCACAAGGCTCCAATCCAAATGAAACAAAAACAATAAAAATACCGATCTCTCATAAAAAGCTGACCCGGCGCCAGTGTCAACTGTGTTGACGTGCGTCTAACCGTGTCCAGAGACTCGAGCTCTGACGAGGAGCTGGCCCGGCGCCAGTGTCAGCCGTGTTGACGTGCGTCTAACCGTGTCCAGAGACTCGAGCTCTGACGAGGAGCTGGCCCGGCGTCGGTATCCGCTATGCTGACGTGCGTCTAACCGTGTCCAGAGACTCGAGCTCTGACGAGGAGCTGGCCCGGCGCCAGTGTCCGCTGTGTTGACGTGCGTCTAACCGTGTCCAGAGACTCGAGCTCTGACGAGGAGCTGGCCCGGCGCCAGTGTCCGCTGCGTTGACGTGCGTCTAGACGTGTCCAGGGACTCAAGCTCTGATGAGGAGTAGGCCCGGCGCCAGTGTTCGCCGTGTTGACGTGCGTCTAACCGTGTCCAGAGACTCGAGCTCTGACGAGGAGCTGATCCGGCGCCAGTGTCCGCTGTGTTGACGTGCGTCTAACCGTGTCCAGAGACTCGAGCTCTGACGAGGAGCTGGCCCGGCGCCAGTGTCCGCTGTGTTGACGTGCGTCTAACCGTGTCCAGAGACTCGAGCTCTGACGAGGAGCTGGCCCGGCGCCAGTGTCCGCTGTGTTGACGTGCGTCTAACCGTGTCCAGAGACTCGAGCTCTGACGAGGAGCTGATCCGTCGGCGGGAGGAGCGGCTGCTGATGCGCGAGCTGGGTCTGCCCAGCCGGGCTGAAGACGAGCGCGAGGAGGCGGACGGCCAGCTGGAGTACGCGTACCAGCAGGACCGCAGCCAGGCCGACGGCTGGGAGTCGGACCAGGAACGCTGGCAGAGCCGCAGAAAACGCCCGCCGCGACGTCGAGAGTAGGTCACGGCGTGTCAGCCGCCGCCCCTCGACGTCCAGGGAGACGGTATTGTCTCCGACGTCCGGGAGATGGTGCCACCACCTCCGGATAACATCTCCGACGTCCGGGAGATGGTACCACCACCTCCGACGTCCGGGGAAAAGGCGCCATCTCCGACGTCCGGGGGAGGATGCCACCACCTCCGACGTCCGGGGAGACGGCACAATCTCTGACTTTCGGGAGAGGATGCCATCAGCTCCGACATCCGAGGGACGGCACCACCTCCGACGTCCGGGAGATGGTACCACCACCTCAGACGTCCGGGGAGAAGGCACCATCTCCGACGTCTGGGGGAGGATGCTATCACCTCCGACGTCCGGGGAGACGGCACCATCTCTGACGTCCGGGAGAGGATGCCACCACCTTCGACATCCGGGGGGACGGCACCATTGGCGCTGCTATCCGCAGCTATATGTCAGCCAGGATGTGTTGGCTGGTGTACTGGATGATAGCTTTCTGTCTTCCATAGATGCATATAGATAAATATTTATTAGAATTCCAAAAATGCAAAATTGTTGCACATGAAAACATGGCTGTGGTGTGACATTTACTTCTTTACTGTGTTGATCCTACGAACACACTTTTTTGACCCCCTATGAGACGAACAAATAATCGCAGCATTTCATTCCAAATAGGACACCATTAAGCAATGATGAGCAAGAGCAACTTTCAAACAGCACTGTAAACAAGAATTACTGTACAGTAAATTTCTGTACTTTAAGTGCCGCTGTCATAAACGTATTATACGCAGTAACGTAGTAAGTGGTTGGCGTGTAAGAATATCAAATGCAAAGTATCTTAAAAACGCAGCACGAGGGCACTATACAGCCTAAACAGCATTATATAACTGTAGCATTTTCACAACAATGGGCAAAATTACGACAAGACGTTAATTTCGTACAGATCGGTCGGCGTGAGAGCTACGCAATCGAATTTATGCCACAAAAATATTTCCCGCCAACGTCTACGGGAAATACTTGCACAGTCTATTTTATGTATTACATTTGTTCCACTGCAAAAGTTCACACACGGCACGTGTGTTACATTATAAAACTGATGCTTCAAAAATGCTTATGCCTCGGGAGTTCTCCCAGCAACAAGCCCTGCTTAGCTGGGTGGACTCCCTGGACATCCAGCTCAAAACCCAGCACAAAAATGACCAGGTAATTGCCCACTCCGACTTGTGACTGTATAGCCCTTACTAACATGGGGAATTGAGTGGTTGTAGATTATTGGGCGGTTGTAGCGGGCTGTCATTAGCTGACTTTGGCTAATGACTACTTTAAGCCTTTTCATCTGTGATTTTTTCCTACCTATCACGTGACACAATTCCTTCGGGTCTGCTCCACCTCCTCGCCTGTTTTTTTTTTAACGTTTGTTTCATCTTCCTAGCTGGGAGTGCCGCGACTTGATTTTATGTTTTATGATTTTTGGTGTTAACGTACGGTTTACTGCGTCGCTGGGATTGAGGGAGGGGCACTCCTGGTTACCTGTTGTTGGGTAACGGCGTAGAAAAAAACGTGTGTCTTCTACAGCAAAGGCGTATGCAGCATTTAGTTACATGCGACTTTACTTCTGATTCAAAGTGATGAAGGTGACGTTGGTGCCATACGACCTATGGTGCCTGTAACTTGTGCCTGTTATTAAGTTTACTGAATAAATGTATTTAGTATCTAATTATAGGCGATATTACTTGTACAGCTCACATCTTTGCGCAGTGTTTGTTCTACACGATGCATGCTATACTTTACAGATTATACTGGTCATTACTCCTGCTCAAAGGTGCCTCCCCATACACAGGATATATAACGGCCGTCAACCATTTCCTTATTTCATTATATTTATCATCATCATATCATTGCTTGCCGCAAAAACCTTTATATGCGGAACATTCCCTGTAATATAGGCCCCAGGAACAGCACAGGGCTCTCCAAGCAAGTGGGAAGAACCTGACACTAATTTGAAGGGCCCTGAGTAACCGAAAGTACCCCAGGAGGTTAACACGCGCTCGGGTGGGGCTGTCAAATTGACCCCCCCCCCCCCCCCGAAGGTTTTTCAGAATGGCTTCTGAGCGGCGCGGCGTAGCCGCACTGAATCTTGCATAGCTGTAGACAATTGAATAGCGGATTGTTTGGTTTTCAAAAAATTGGATGTACCTTGTAAGGTCGCTAACCTATAGCAGGTCAAGGTCAGACCATAACTTCAGCAGTCGATTTCTAGGGAATCGTTCAATCTAATGCAACAACGGAGTGTTAGGCGGAGCCATATGTCTCTGAAATGCTTTCTTAGAAAACACAAATATTGAATGAGCACATAACGTTGATCTAGGTCAGGTATAAAAGTCAGACCAAGGTCAAAACCAATCTGTTTTGTTACTCAAGGGCCTGCTGTATGGGATAGTTTCTGGTGCTCATTTCGAATTTATTGATAGCAGAAACCACATTATACATCTTCCATTGACTTCTCAAAGGTCAGAACAGGTCATTGACCTAAAGTGTGCTTGGAGGGCCCTGCGCTCTGGCCGGGGCCCTATGCGTTCACCAGCTGGGGCACTCCCGATCGTTTAAGGTCCATCATACAGTCTTGGGTTCTTCTCGCTTGCTCTGGGAACCCTACACTCGTGATGGAAGTCTCTTTGTTGACTTGCCTCGTCATCCTTGATCGCTCAGGTGTTGTCCCTATTGGTCTTGGTTTCCCCCACTTTATCGGAGGGCCTACGCCGTTGAGTTGGGCCTAAATGTTTATCGACCGGCGCACTCTTGATCGCTTTGAGACCTTTATAATTGATTGTGGCCTCTTCCAATGAAGTGAGAACGGCCCACTCTGTTGCTGAAACCCTCACATGTGCTTGTGAGCGACAGGGTGTTTTGCCTGCCCGTGTGTCAGGGCCTGGCTGTATCTATTCAGGTACAAAAGTCTGAAGTCTTAACGATAACGATTTGCCTTAACAACATAGCCTTTATGAAGCGGTTGGGTGTGTTCTGATCATTTTTACCCGCCATTGCCGGAGATGATTTTACGCCCCAACCGACGGCGCATGTTATTTCCGTCGGTTATTGAACGCGTGACACTTCTTTAACTTAAGCTTCACGTTCTTAGCATGTTTTGAATAAAGAATAACTTGAAATCCCTCATTACAGAAAAACCAAAAACTTTGCATCAGGCATCAGCCATCAGCTGATCACATCAGTTAGCCGACTAGCCGCTGGAGGCTGGCGAGGCGTAAATGACCTTGGAATCAAGACTCGTGCTTGGTTGTGATAACTTTGGCAGTAAACTTATGCTTATGTTACCAAAAATCCTCCCCAATACGTAGCCTCGAAATGACCGCATCCACCATGACCTGGAGAAAACGAACGCCCCCCCCCCCCCATGCATGTGCATTCGTACCTCGAAGAATTGCTGGATTTGCCGCTGGCTTAGACACGTGCACACGTTTAGAATTATATCTCTCTCACCTTGGCGTATTAAAATATGGCACAGAACACACCAAAGCAACCTTTTGAACACGTTACCACAGTGCAGAACCTTTGGTTTATCGCCATTAAAACCGAGGCTTAATTATGTGACGATATTACTTCTGTTGACAAATCAAAGCATGTATGTAAGCCCGAATTCACGGCCAGCCCTTGCTGTTCCCAAAGCCATAGGCTCTGCACTGGAGGAGACCGTAGTGAACGATTTTGTGTTTCTATAGCTTTGGCCGGCCCGACCACTTTTCATTTAGACTTTTCCTACGATCGGTTCATTGCGACTTTTTTGCGATCGACTGTTACCAAATGAACTTCTTGTTGTGACTTGGCTCAGCAGTATGCAGATCCAACCATTATAAAGTGTTATTTGCATATTATACTTACTTGTCACTATTTGAAGAGGTCTTTTGTGGGACAAAACTGTGCGACCAATTAGAGAAGAAAAGAGAAAAAAGGCCAAAAAGAAAACCACAGAAGAGAAAGTATGTTAATAAGATAGATAATTTTAAGACGAAACTATTCTTCAACAAACATGTTGTCACTTGCAAAGACTTACCTGAAAGTGAGGCTATTCTTTAACCAAGTACGCGCATACATATATCTATTGAAGCACACCAATTTGCCTCTGGCGGCCAAGTCGTGACTAAGCCAGATCTCAGTTTTAGAGATTACTGTGTTTACATTATATATATATATATATATATATATATATATATATATATATATATATATATACGAATAATCCACTGGCTGATATAAACGTAAGATGACGGCCATATTTCTGGAACAAACGCGTGGCTCATTAAAATGGGACGAACTGATTCACAGAGCAAATGGCGGATGGCGGAGCCACCATGGATATGCTGCAAAGCGATGAGGAAGAAGAGGAAGATGAAGAGGTAAATGCGGTCGGATTGCTCTTATGTGACTACGTTTCAAGTTGCTCATGCCCGTTCTCGAAGTAATCAATTAATGAAGCTATCGATTAGCTTGTTAATGGGGGCCCGGCAACTACGGGCGTGGGATTATTTACATGCTCTCCTTCCTGAGGTTGAGGTAGAAATATTTCATCCACGATTTCGTGAGTTACTCCCTTGCTGGATATCTTGGAGACTGGCATGCGGTTTGTTTTACGTTATACAATCGCACGATGATGCTGTTGGTAATCACCTTCAGTGGCGACATATTTGGCTGAGGGTCGGGTCAGTAGAAACTACGGCATTTGGTCGAGTTCACTATTCTGATCTGCCCTCAGGCGGACGAGGTCATTGACACGTTCCATCCGGACGACCTCAATGATGCTGACGATGAAGAGGAAGATGATGCGGACGGGGAAAGGGACGAGATCGCCAAACTGCTGCCGCTGCCTCGGAAGACGGCGAACACCGCGCAGGACGCTACTAAGCCGACACCGCCAGGCCCGCACCTCGTCTGAACAGGCTGAACAACTGGCCCCGAGCTAACAGCGACGGGACCTCCCGGCACTGACAGAGCTGGTCGGGCGAGAAGCCAGCTGTGGCCTGATCATGTGGGCTAGGATTTAAAGGCGGACAAGTACCATGAGGACGTGCTAGTCCGAACGTGATCCAAACCAATCGAAGAAAACATATTGAACCGGCCTTGTCCTGAGGTCCACCACGGTCATTACTTCACCAACCGATCGGGCGGACGGCGGTGGCGAACAGACAGCAGGCTGCGCTGAGGCTTAGCAGCATGCTGAACAAGTTAGCAGCACCTGACTTCAGACAGCATGTCCCACTCCCTTTAAACGCCTGATTGCAGGCTGATCACGAAGTGGAACTGAGCTTCGAAGTGGATTTATCAAACCTTAGGACTCTCATAGACTCTAACCATCTTTTTGGCGTGTTGGCTTCAGTCCATTATTGTCCGGTTCTTTGCAGTTTCATTGTGCACGTTGTTTGTGGCTTGCATTTAATGTGGACCGCGCGTGGCAGATGATTCCAAATGTAGGTCCACTGAATGTTTGCAAACTTACGTGGGCGTGAACAGCTTATGCACTGTAGCCCCCGTGAGTAGTCTTCATTGTTGTATCACTCATCTTATACAATACACAAACGCAAGGTATGCATTCATGTGAAGGTCACCTTGTCGTCTCACTATGCATTCGATGCTGCGTGGGATTAACTGACCAGTATGACTCCTCGCGTGCCCTGCGATCTGAGTGATCCGCCAGCGTTAGATAATGCGCTGTCACGGGGTCAACCCAACAAAATGAAAGCCTTCGAACGAAAACAACGCTATGTTGTCAGCGGATGGCCCTACAGCAGTGATAAGTGTTGAGACCGTATGCGTTTGACAGTGTTCTCAAATGCGAGTGGTCGCGCCCTCCGCTCGTGATTATGGACATCCGCCAAAGGTTGCCTTACGTTCGTACCACGCTGCCGGCGTGGTCCAGCTGACGTGCTCAGTAATGCGCTATGAAAGGGTCACGACGCAGAGTGGGCCTGAATTTGCAAAGTTGCGGCATTCCAGTAAAAACCTTTATTGCCGTGGCGAACAGGTGCGACCGAGTGCATTTTTAAACAGTGCTGCATGGGTATCAGCTGGCACCTCAAACGCCGCCCCGACTCGGGGCCACTTGCCGCCACAGGACCCCTGCTAAGTACTTTAGTCCCTAACCGATACAGGAGCCCCGCATTGTCTCAGGGAACCCGAACATTGCAAATCGCGGATCCCGGTCTCGCTTCTGCTTGGGAAACAGGTCTCAAGGGCTTAAATGGGCGTGAAGCCGACTGTTTGTACGACTAAATGTGCAAATTGACAATGCGCCTATTGAAGATAAAAGAGAAATCAAATAACTTAGTGTGCTCATTGAAGAAACCCCCTTAATTTCACCCGCAACCTTAATTTTGCTGCAGTCATGCTAAGTAGAAATGTTGGAATAATAAGTAGAATTAGGTACATTATTGATAAAACAACGTCACACCTACTTGATAACACTTAAATTCTTCCTTATTTAAATTACTGCTGCTGGATTTGGGGTGCAAGTTATGCTTCTCAACTAGATCGGTTAGTAATTTTGGAAAAAAGGCTGTGGGTCTGATAGAAAACGTGTCCCCTCCACAAAGCTCCGAACCAATCTTTAAACGACACAAAATTGTGAAATTACCGGGTAACGCTAAATCCCAACGTTACTTGTGATGTACAAAGTACTGTCTTCACAGCTTCCTGCATCATTTGATTTAATATGCAGTCCTACGCATTAAATTAAATGGATGTGAAGCGAGCAAAAAATTAAGACTAACCCTTCTCTAATCGTAATTATAGATTATTTGCAACATTTTGCCTCAGCCCTAGGCTGTGGAACAACATAATGATTTTATATTTTCCAAGAATAACTGATATATCTGCATCAAAAACCATCGTTAAGAACATCATGAGCAAGTCTTTTGTGAAGACATATTGACGTAACCAACATATTTGAAGATTTTGCAATTTTTTGCACCACACGTATGTAACTCGCTTCATATTCAACCTTCTTCATGTTCTGTAATCACGTTCCGATAAAGTTATATTCATGCACTTGTACCCAAATTCATGGCGCTGGCTCCAGGAGTTTTCCCAGCAACAAGCTGTGCTCAGCTTGGTGGACTCCCTGGACATCAAACTCAAAACCCGGCACGAAAATGACGGGTTAATTGTCCGTCCGACTTGTGTGACTGTACCTAACACTGTGAATGAGTGGTTGCAGCTTATTGGGTGGTTCTAGTGGGCTGTCATTAGCTGACTTGGGCTATGGCTACGTTAAGCCTTCTCATCCATGACCTGTCCTTGCCTATTGCATAACACAATTACCGCCGGGCCTGCACCACCTCTTTGCTTGCTCCTTTTAGTGTTTGTTTCCTCTTCCTAGCTGGGAGTACCGCGACTTGATTTTATGTTTTCTGGTGTTAACGCACGGCTTACTGCGTCGCTGAGATAGAGGGATGGGTACTCCTGGTTACCTGTTCTTGAGTAACGGTGAGTTCGGTCGTTCGGTTTTCGTGGTATCTGATCGACTTAGATACCCGCATTTTCTCAGGGGTTCCTCAAACGATGCAGGAGGACCTCTGACCGATGTTTCGGGTCACGACCATATGGACAGGGATTTTGTCTGTGACCTAAAGCTAGTACTTCGGGCACTTCTGCTCTTCAACCAGGCCTTTGATCGTAGGTTCCGGAGGCTCGCTCGGGCCCTTCTTCGGGCGTCATCGAACACTTCTTTTTTGTCGCCTTAGGACCCTTGCAATCACAGGACCCTCTGTTAGGCGCTGTGGGCCCCTGACAGATACAAGGCCCCGACAGGTGTAAATCATTAGCCTCGGCTTTATACCTGATGGGAATGGGGCTGTCAGACCCATTTCGATACGGAGCCGATTGTGCGATAGTGGTGGCACCTGCCCGACATGTCGGCCAATACCGACTCAGGGGGCCTCCGATCGGTTGGAAAGGGCCATCTGACCGATATTTGAAGGTCCACGTTTGCAAGCCTGAACGTCGACCAGCCATTTATGCCCTTAGACCGTCCAATCGCGTCCTTGATCGTCGGACCCAGTTGGCCCTCTAGGCTTTTCGGGCCTCCTCGAACACTGCCTCTTGCCAACTGGGGGTCCCTTGACAACACAGGACCCGTTTCAGGCGTTGTGTGGTCCCGAGCAATGCAAATAATTGGCTTCGGCTTTGTCCCTGCTTGGGAAATGGGCGCTTAGGCCCATACCGCCACGGAGCTAACTGTGCGCTCCTGGTGGTCGAAATATGGGTCCTTTTCAGCTCAGTGGGCCCTTGGGACCCCACGGAACCTAAGGGGGCGGGCACGTGCCACTTGTACCCCTCTCTGAGCTGCTGATGTGTGTGAGAATTTCCGATGTTCCGGCTGCTCCGCAACGTTACGCCCACGGCTAGCGACCGCGCTGCATTGAAATCTTGGCACCAGTGACGTAACCGCCCGTTGCAGAGCGGATGAAAACCCAACTTATGTCGAAGCGTATGCACAGTACCCCCTACGCTTCACGAGAAGTTGCGGTGTTGGCTGCTGACCGAGGATAGCCGTTTAGGGGCTGTCAGAGGACGCGCCGCGGGTCAGTTTCTCGCTTTTTTGATTATCCCATGGATATGCTTTTTTCGCCTCATGTCGGGAATATCAAAGCCTGTAACGTCTGCTCTTGTCGTTTCCTGGGTCATATATTGCGGGTTACCGCGGTTTGCCATGCCCGTCAAGTCTAGTATTTGTATGCAGGCTTTCTGGGCCAGAATGTCCTGTCTGTTTCTATCTAGAAGAACTGTGAATGCTGTGATCTCTCCAAACTTAAATGGATGTCATGCCACAGGAGCAGAAAGTGATATGTGAAGGGGGGTAGATAACCCCTATGAACCATGCATGTTCATATTGGTTCTATAAATGGGACATATTGTGCTTTGTAGTTAATGATTGTGTAGGTATAGGACTGGCACAAGGGATGACCTGGATTTTTTCATATAAGAATTAAGTGTATCAATATGGAGCATGTTGATAAAAATAGAACTTTGATTTCTTAGTCTGACAATTCTAGGTGGCTCCCTGACATTAGGTTGTGCATCTCAAGTTGGTAAAAGCTTAATGATTGATTGAAATGTGATCAAGATTAAAATGATAACCATGAATGAGAGGTGAAATTTAATGGTAGGAAATGTCATTTATGACAAAATAGGGAAGTGAGATCATCTTATCTTGTACACATAACAATTATGCTGTCAGTAAACAGTAGGCTTAAACACCGACAGTACTATATCAGCACGCACATGCTGGTGGTTGATTGGCCAACAAAGTGACTAAGTGTGATGTCCTTATTTGGTAGGAATGTAATGAAAAATAAGAACTTTAAATCTATTTGCTTCTTTATTAGCTATGCTAAGTTGCTTTTATCTTATTATGTTACATTATGTTACTTGCATCACCGATTTCATTCAATTCCCAGTGATACTCTGATATTACATTAGGCTATATTGCTGTTGTAAAGTGTTGATTTTATTTTCCAATGAACTCAAATAATTTGGAAGATGTAACCTTAACACACACCTTTCCATTCTCTTTATTCTTGATTCTGAGGTGCATGTGGTGACCAGTACTTTCACCAGCTGAACAGCTCAAATTGTTAACAAAATTTTGATGCCATCCTTTTTAATATTGTGGGGAGAACAGCATGGTATGCCTGTATAAAGATCAAGAGTACTGCTCCTCCATTTCATAAGCATCATTGGTACATAGTATTTGAGATTTGCTTCATAGCAAACAGTTCATTTATTCTGTTCATCACAATGCATGTTTGTCAATGCATCACAGTGCATGCATGTATGGTCATGTACATACAGGTAAAATCCTTAAGTATGACCAAGTGTGACGGATTTTGTCAATTGTATGGTCTTTATGAGAATAACATACTTCTGAGTGATTTATCATCATTTTCAAATATCTTTATGACTAAGCTTGCAGCAGCAAAAAGATAGAAGTCCAAGAGCAAGCTCATTAATACTTACGAGCGCATGTCGTGAGAACAAATCCCAGGATTCCAGGTAGCTCTACTATCATATGACACAATGACAGTAAAAAGCTTGTTTCAATGCTATTATGAGAACTGGGGCTTCTTATGAACCACTCATATTACTGGGTCTAGGGTGGTTTAACTTTTGAGGCTGCAACATGGGTTTTGAGACATTGCTTTCCAGGTGTCGACAACGTCATGGTGTTAAACTGTAGAATGTGATTCCCTCTGCTATTAAGGGTACAATGACCATGGGGATGACCCTGCTTCCCAAACTGGTGTGCTTGATCAAAAGTCACAGACATTGCAGTGAGTATGTACTCTGTGCATGATATGCAGTTTGATGCATATGCATTGTCTCTTTTCATTGAAATGTCCAGCCAAGATCAGATAAGCTTTAACCATGTCTGTCATGTCTAGGTGGCTTTGCATAGTTATGTCAGCAAAGCTGATGTATTCAGTAGCAGTTCCACTGGTTTTAAGGGGGGTAAGGTGAGATTGCCTGTGGACATGGAATATTCAAAGCTGTAATATTGTCTTAGAATCTGCCAAATGCTCTTTAGCTCTGCTTTTGATCACAGCCAGTACATGTCTTGTGCCATCCAGGCAATACCACCACATTCATGCATATATTTATATAATTTTGTTGTGTGCCTCTAGTATGTGATGGGTTGTGATGCCCTCATTAGAAGTATTCCATGAGCCTCAAGGCCACTTTAGCATTCTTAATTTTCAAGGGATGGTTTTTAAGCAGCTAACAAGTGTTAATGCTGGCATTTCTGAGCTAATTGCTTCACTAACCTCAATGTGAATAGGTGGCATTGCTATCTCGGTTTGTGAAGAGACATCTTTTGAAGTGTGCTTTATCTTATCACGGCGGCAAGGAATGTGCAGCGCAGTCCAGCTCTGCCAGCTGAATCAAAAGGCTGCCTGTGCTCCTGCTGAGGTGTTGTCAACAGCATCAAAGCACAGGTGGTGGCGACTAAAAGGCTGTGGCTGAAGTCGCAAACCTTCGCGCAGCAGGACAGCATCAGACGCATCGAACCACCGGATCGCCACTGCGCCAAGAACCATTCGTACCAACGGAGAAAAGCTACGGAAGGTACCAGCGAATATCCAGCCTCCATGTCACTCGACCTTCCTGGCGCGCGTGGTGACAAGTGGGTAGTGCACATCATGGGAAGAAGCCCTACGAAGCCCAACTAGGTCCGGCAGCAACTCAAGACCACGTACGCCGACAATGTTCTCCGAGCCACACGGACGACATCTCGTCGCTAGCGCGGGATGCTACTGACCTCGGACGGCGTCTGGTCACTAGTGCGGGATGCTACTGACTGTGGACGGCATCCCGTCACTAGCGCGGGTGCGACTGACCTCGGATTGGCATCTCGTCACTGACACGGGATGCTACTCTGCTGCTCCTGGCGTAGAGCAGTAGCTGTCCCAGGCATAGAGCAGCAGCTGTCCCTGGCGTAGAGCAGTAGCTGTCCCTCCTGTGGAAAGCCGGACGGCAGCAAGCACATTCGCGTCGAGTGCCCGGTGTGCACTAGCGCTCGGGGCTGATTTCGACGTCCGCTGTCCCGCTGCCGCCCAGCATTTTCAGCAAGTCGGTCGCGATTGCGGCGATGAAAGTTACGGACTTTCCCTGGACGAGTATGGTGCACGGACTCACCGGGCGTCCCGTTGCGACAGCGGAACCCCAAGTGGTCAGCAACTCCTCTAGGGTTCGCGGCGTTGGTCTTGAAGATAGCAGTACGTAGTATGCCTGTTTGCATCATGCCCTTTCAGGCTGCCGAAGAATCGGGCACTCCGAAACCGTCCGGTGTTACCAGCACATTTGTGTTGGGGTGTGTTACACTGAAAACATTTCTGAGTCACAAAGACTGGCATACACAGCTCTGCACGCGCATACGTTCTGCATGCGCAGCAGAAAGACAGCTTCCGCGACCCGTAACATACGGTTCTGCCTGTCGCTGTCGGATGTCCGCAACCCTGCACCCTGTCATTGTGTTTTGTGTTACCCCAAAAAGCCGTTTTTACTACAGACCTTAAGTCATTGGACCTGTGATATCATGTGCGTGTTCCGGTTATAGTTTTCAGTAATCTAAAACGAAGCTTCAAGTACCGAGCAGTCGCCAGCCACAAGCCAGATGGTCGGCCGCCGCATGTCGCCGCCCGGCCGTGATATGAGGCCCATACCCCCGGCCAGAGGGGAGCACTATCCGCCAGCGTATCCGGATCGTGAACGCATGAAGAGAGACTTTCGCAAGCCGTCTCCTGACATGCACCGCAGAAGGTGGGGCTCAGCGGGTGTCCGCCTCCCCCCGCGTGGACGGCCGTGCACCGAGGTGCGCAAGGCTCAACATGGCCCAGTAGCTCAAAATGCCGAGCAAGGCAACACTCAGAATTTCCCGCGACGTGCACGTAAGGCGCCATACTGTCTCATTTGAGGATGGCCGGTAGTAGTGCTCAGACATTGTCATGGCTTGCACGCAGCCATGGTAGGAAGATGACTCGTTTGGTTGACCGTCCAGAAGCGAGCGACATGCTGTGAGGGTTGTGCTCTTTCACCACTGATAACAGCTGTGAAGGCGTCGTGACTGACACTGATCGGCACTTTTGCGGTGTTCGCAGTCGGTCGGTGAGCCCGCCGCCCAAGAAGCGCCACCCGCCGTCGCCGGGGTACCGCGGCGGAGGCAGCCCGCCCATGCGGCGGCGCCGCTCCTTCACGCCGCCGCCGCCGATGCGCAGGTCGCGCTCCCGCTCTCCCCGCAAACAGAGGTATTGCGCCTGGCACCGCGATGTGCGGCGATTCGTTTGGCATGTCTGCACGGCTGCTCCATTTGTGCTCGAAATTGTGATCAAGACAGCTGTTGTGAGTTGGACAGCTGGCATGTTATGTTTGCAACGTCACACATCCAGAACGACTTGCATATTAGCACTTCCGTATTTCGTTGTTCAGCTGGAGGCGTCATTGACGCCATGACCTTAAGCGTGGCCAGAATGCTAGTGCACATTATGTACCGCGCGGCTGAGATGCTGTCGCCGCTGGGCCACACAGGTCATTGTTTGAAGTCGAGATTTTGCTGAAATCATGCATTATATTTAGAGCATGATTTGTAAAAAAAAACTCCAGTTCAAATCAGGAGTACACGCGATACTGTTCTGCGCAACAGCTAAAAAAGAGGGCGGATCGGATCATGTTATGTGATGCCAGGAATATGGCATTCGACCTTGTAGTGCACATAGCACAGTATGCCACGGGACGTTTTGTTGTTCCAGAGCCAGCAGTCCCCGTGGGTCCCATCGCGTGGCAAGTGATGCGCGCAGAAGCTTGGACGGGTGAGTTGAAAGCTGTGTCGTCCATGCAGACGGTTCACGGGCTGAAGATCGCCTGCGTGTCACAAAACGTGATATCTAATGAGGCCCCTACCTGGATACATAGTGAGGCTTCTTTGTTGACATCGAGCACTTGGCTTAAACAACTAGCCCAGATTTAAACGTCAACAACTCGTGCATCTCCGGACTGTCGTATCACACAGCCGTGATAGATGTATGTGTGTACTTTGGGTGTTTAACAATGCTCAAATGTTGTCAACAGCCATCCGGATGATTTCTTTGGTCCATGGGGTACTCGGATTGCTGTTCACGACTTAAAGAAGATAACAGTGGATATCAAGCGGAACTTGCCAAAAGGCAAAAGGAGCAGTTCTCCTATAATAAGAAGGATTATCAATGCGGACGACATTGTTCTATACCGCAGAACGGGTGAGTACTCTGGACGTGTCACCTGCTGTTTGAATAGGTGAAATCTCTTTATCTTGGGACACCAATAGTTTTGTTTTATAAGATGTCGGTATGTTTGTGAAAATTTACGCAGTTTATGTTCAATCATAGTATTTTGTCAGCTTATAAGCATTACTCTGGTTTGGAACTCGTACATACTCTGTACTAGACCAGATAAAAGAGGATGTGCATCATGTTGGCAACCGTGATCACTGGCGGTTCAATAATGATGTTAGGAGAAGTAAGAAGAAGTAAAGCACAGCAATGGCTTTCCTTCTTCCTCCTTTCTTCCTTCCTTCCTTCCTTCCTTCCTTCCTTCCTTCCTTCCTTCCTTCCGCCTTCCTTCCTTACCTTCCTTCCTTCCTTCCTTCCTCCTTCCTTCCTTCTCCTTCCTCCTTCTGCCTTCTCCTTCCTCCTTCCTTCCTCCTCTCTCTTCCTTCTTCCCTCCTTTCCTTCCTTCCTTCCTTCCTTCCTTCTTCCTTCCTCCTTCCTTCCACTTCCTTCCTTCCTTCCTTCCTCTTCCTTCCTTCTTCGTTGCTTCTTCTTGTCACTCCTTCTTTTCTTTCTTTCTTTCTTTCTTTCTTTCTTTCTTTCTTTCTTTCTTTCTTTCTTTTTCCTTTCTTCCTTTCTTTCTTTTCCCTCCTTTCTTTCTTTTCCCTCCTTCCTTTCTTCCTTCCTTTTTTCCTTTCTTCCCTCCTTTATTTTCTCCTTTCCCTTTTTCTTTCCTTTTTTCCTCCTACCCGCCTGCCTTCCCGTCTTCCTATCCTATCCTTCCTAGCAGGTTGGACAGTACCGAACACCGTCTGACGAAGCGCCCTGACGGCCAGGTGAGGGCTCGCGTCCGCTGCTGGACCGGCCGGAACTGCGCAGCGCCATCAACCGGCGCTTCGATGACGCTGCTCCTGGGCCGAATGAGCCGCGCGTGGTGGCCATTATCCGGGAGCCGGGCCAGGCGACAGGTGAGCACCGCGCCCCGGCATTTAGCGACAGGTTAGGGGAGCTAGCGGGTGGGCGGAGGAGCTGGCATTATTGTTCGTTGACTGGCCGGCAGTATGTCCGGATGAGCCTGTGATGAGGTTGGAGCTGTTTTGTACTTGGCAACTGAAGTCATTGGTTACGTATTTGGAAGTTCCTGGCGTATGTCAGAGGTCCCTTATTCGGTGTATAACGTGACCGAAAGTTTTGGAAGTGGGGCTCGTCTTACGCCACTTCATGGTATTATGTGCATGGGCTGTAGGCTGCAGGTGTCAGAGAGCTGACCAATATAGCCCCCTTGGCCAGGATTTGGATCAAAATTGTGCCTTGCAAAAGGAAGTACAATGCACCTCCATGCATTTCAATCGGAGCTACCGCGGCCAGTGGCGTCAACACGCATGAGTTGGTGTAGCATTTTTTCACGCTGGGAGAGTTCGGTTCGTTTCGGATGCATGTGCGTGTCGCCTCGTTGTGACTTCAATGAAGAGTGCTCTGATACGTGGTGTTGCCCTTTTGCAGGCGACCGCCGGGAGGGGAGTTCCTTTGATCGTCCATCACGATCCCGTGAGCGTGGTTTTGAACCACCGATGGACAACCAACCCGCCGCCCCTGTGGGCGACCGGATTGAAAGAGACCGGTCCGAGCGCACCCAGCGGCAAGTAGAGAAACTAGAGCAAATGGAGGTGGCCATTGACAGGAAATTGGAACAGATTCAGCGCTACGAGAGAAAGTATGAGGAGACCATGCGAGATGAGAAGTATGGGTGAGTGGTTAACTACGACATACCGTCGAAGAGACCATCTTCCGCATTATGATTGGTGATCCGACTCAGAGCTAGCATGAAGAAGGTGGAAAACATGTAGACGGCTTGAAGCTCCTTCCAAGTATGTTGGATGTTTCCCCGCGACCTGTTTCTGCTGTTGTGCGAGAACAACCATCACGGTACCCAACCCGGAATCGTGGAACAGAGGAGGATGACACAGAATTATTTTAATCCTTCGTTCCTGAGGAGTCGCGTAAGACCTGCAAACTTCATGTTCCAAGGATGCTTGGCAGTGAAGGTGGCTTGTCGCTGGCACCGGCACTGGGTTTCTCCGAGACAACTTGGAAACAACTTGCGGGGTTTTCGGGCGACAGTCCAGAAAGCTATTGTTCTCTGTTAATGGGAATACCGCCTAGATGATATTGGTCCCATCCATCCGGGCAAAGCCAATCGTTAGTTGATGTTCAGCAGTCCGGAACACCCTGACGGAAGTCGTTGATAGTCTGGAGGACCTACGCATATCCGCAATGTACGGGACCTCCCTCTTCTGGGCAGCTTAAAAATGCACCGTTAAGGGATGGTGTGAAAGAAGGAATCGCGTTGCGTACGGGACTCCAGTCGTATAGTTCGCAAGTCACAAGATCAGGCCTCGCGTTTTGGATTATGCAGTCTGCTCTTCAGCCAGCGCGGGGTATCAACAGCACTCGCCTGTGTTTTACGTGCGTGGAGCGGCATACCAAGGAAGCACAAGTTCTGCGTTGCCTTTCGTTGCGAGCCTGCTACCGTCAAAGACCACAGGAACCCCCAGATAAAGTGGCGGCGTAGAACCACGGCCCACGGACGCTTGCAACAATGGCTGTTGACGGAACTCCGAGTTCAGGTGATGGTAGTGTTTCAAGATCGATTGGATGTGAAATTCAGGTGTCACGGCCTGTTTAACAGTAACATGGTGCGTGAAGTGCAGTGTCATCTTGATAAGAAATGTTTTCATCTCATTGTGAGTACAAGCGCAGGTGGTGCGTCCCGGGTGCAGCTGAGCGGAATACCGTTAGATTGGAACAGTTTTAGGTTGGACCGCAAACTTGCAACCCGTGCCACGCTGCTGCTTCTTTGAAAGGTGCGATATCGATGTCAAGAAGTTCAAGAAAAGGCACGCCTCTGAAAAGAAACGTAATGCAAGCACGTATCTGAAGTGAGCGTAATTGAGGACATTTAGTCTTGTCGACAGATGTCACATACAGAGATTTTTGGGGACCAACTCTGGAGCAGAGCGCAGCGCGGTTATCTGATTACAATGCGAAGGTGACACTTTGAAGCCCGCAGAATTGGTGCGTCGAACGACATGCCATCCGTCGAACGACAAGAGGTTTCAATATTATCGGCACTTGTATTCAGCTGTAATACCGGCCTTAATTGGGATCCAGCGCACTTTGAGGCGCATGGTGTTCGTGGCTTGTGCAGATCCGCGTGTCGCCAACTGAGCTATTTTAAACTCGATCCCATGCGTGCTTTGTCACGTCAGAACATTCCTGTTTCTTGGACGGCGTATTTCTTCGTCACCCGAAGGACGAACTTGGCGAAGCAAAAGCACATCGAAGACGGGCCACATGTTCTGTCTTGCCCCGGGACGCCCGGGCTCCTACGAGCATGCTGGTCGCGTGCTCCGGACGGGATGCGTGCACTACCGGCTCCCTACAGGGGTGCCGGTAGTGTAATGGTTAAGGAGTCTGCGTTAACCACTGCACGTCTGGGAAACCAGAGGAACGGGGTTCGATTCCCCGCGGTGCCCGCCCTTCCTGCCAGGGTGAAAGGCAGGTGACGCCATATAGCCTCAGCAGCTGAGCGCGTCGTTAGGCCCCAATGACCGGACGGGACCACGTGACCTCCCGACCTCCCTCCCGAGGGAAAAGACGCGACCCTTTCCCGACCTCCCCGGGGCGTCCGTGCAGCAGCGCGACTGCGTGGCCGGCGTCGGGCGTGGCCAGTCACCCAGAGAATGACTGAAATGCGACGGTGTTGACGCCGTTCAGACGCTTCGACTGCGGCGTGGCTCTCGGCTCGCTTTCGTGGTGGACCGACGCGAGGCGCGGTCAGCTCGCTGTGGTGGACCGTGACCTCCTGGAGGCGTGCCGAGGTGATGCCGCTATGATCTGTCGATGCCAACAATCAAGCTTCCAAACCCTACAAGGTGTGCGATTGAAGTGCTCAAGGGCAGTTAAATTGTCTAAGTGCAGTCCAACGGAAGGTAATGGATCTTCCTCAAAGCTGAACTCACCAGTCCTTACACAAACCGCTTTGTCGGCGTTGTGAACGTCCAAGTGTTGTCGCATCGTCAGCCGCGCGTGTGGACTGCCTGTCCGGCGCAGGCTATGCGCACCGCCTGTGGCGGTCGAAACATCCAGCTACCGCGAGATCATGGGACTCTGAAGTACATCCAGCCACCACTGCTAAGTGCTGGTGGAAAGAACATTTTTAAAAGTGAATGCGGAAAGCTTCATTTGTCAACTGGCCACCAGATGAAGGTGGTGGTCATCGTAGCATTGTTCGCTTCGTCACCGTCAATCTCGTCAACGTGGATATTGTTGGGACAAGTATGCACCGTGCCCAGATACAATAAGGTAACAAGAGACCTGCTGTGTGCGAGAACTTGAAGTAAGTTAGTGCTTTTGAATTTGAATAAGTTGAATTGGGCGTAATAAGGATTGACCGTTATCACGGACGATAAGGAAAAGTGGTGCCCTCTCCAAAAAGAGTTTCATTTGGGCTGTGTATGTTCGTGGCCTCAGCGCTTCAACAAAAATCACTGCTAGAACAAAGGCCCTAATACGCTCGTACCCATACGAAAGGCCGCTCATTGGCCGCATGCCACCGTCGGATTGGGGCGGTAAAGTGAGCTGTTGGCTGGCTGGTGTCTCCTGGCGCTGGTGCTGGGCGTCCCTGCCCAACTGGTCAGCTGGCGAAGTCGTGTCGCGGCGCTCCGACGCTGGGACGAGCGATGTGGCCGAGCACTGCGTCATTCCATCAGTACCGTAGCTTTCATCAGCGTCTACACGGCACGCGTCGGTCGCGGAATGGTGACGCGCGACCAAGCGTCAAGGTGATCGTGGAACCAACCTTATTCACCTTGACCCCTGTGGAAGAAGATCAGTCAAGGCTTCATCTCGGTATCGGCCCGTGCAAGGCGGGTCCGCGAGATTCCTCGGACTTGAGACCAGACTGGAGACCGGACTGGAGCCTCGGCGACGCAGCGAGACCTGAGTGACACTGGTTAATGCGACTCCATGACCACCGCCAGTAACGCAACTCCGAGAGCCTGCCGGCAAGTCAAATGGAACAACGTATGCGACTGTGCGTCAGGCACATCTGCGACCTGACATCAGGCTGTCGTGACAGGACGCCGCTAGCAGTCCCTCTCAAGACACTGGACTGAACGGTTGTCGATGCGCACCTGCTGATCTTTCCCGTTCGTGGCGGATGACAGTGTATGTTGATCCATGCCGTCCACTCCAGCGAGGTTAATGACTTCAGTGTCACGCGTTGATACATGACCCAGCAAATGCGTTGGGGTGCGCTTTAGGCGGAGGCCCGATGAGGGATCCCTGGAGAGATCGGTCTTCTGAGTCAGTGGTCATGGCTGCTCAGGCAGGAGTAGCACCGCTCAACGCGCGCCCACGTGAGGACCAACAGAAGACTTCCCACCGATCCCCGGGATCAAGAGCTGCTGCGCTTGCACCTCGAAGTCTCCGTCATCGGCCGACATGTCAAGTGGGCTTCCGCACGGGATTTTCAGCTCTATGCACAAGACTGACGCTCGCGCCCACTAAGGCCCGTGTCCGCCGAGGCCCGCGCCCACCGAGGCCCGCGCCCACCGGGGCCGATGCCCACCGAGGCCCGCGCCCACCGAGGCCCGCGCCCACCGAGGCCCGCGCCCACCGAGGCCCGTACCTACCGAGGACCGCGCCCACCGAGGCCCGCGCCCGCCGAGGCCCGCGTCCTCCGAAGCCCGCGCGCGGCAAGGCTCGAGCCCACTGGGGCCCGCGCCCATCGAGCTACGCTTCTCACATACGAATGGCGTAGATCTGGGCCAACTGCTACAACGCTCAGCCGAAGAGCATGGTGTTGGCGTCGGCGTGGCCGTTAATTATCGGTCGCGAGCCTGCCAGATGGGCATTTTCGTTCATTGTCGATGGAACCTCCATGGACGCGTTTGGCGTGATGTATTCTGAGTGGTTTTCACACTACCTTTAAAAGACTATTGAAGATGTTCAGATGCATGCCGTAAGTGTGATTCGCTCATCAAAATGATTAAAAGGAATGTTCCATATTTAAGAGTATGGAAGCAAGCGTCTAACATTACGACATAAGTTCACTTCAGCTATGGGTATAATTTTAAGTGGGAAGGACTGCCCTAGACAGCACAATTTCTTCATTCCTTAAATAAGCTCATCACGCCATTGCTTGATTGCGTCACGGAACGTTTGTATGACGTTGAGGTGCTGCGAATTAGCGGTGCGAAATGGCCGTCCTATCACTCACTTGTGCATCAATTGTCCGAGAGGTGTCCGTGGCAGTGTTGTAAGTGGAGCTGTAGCGACGCTGAACTCGTATCGTTGAGCTTGTGTTTTGGCCATTTATCATGTTGTTCTTGCGTATGTATCCGTGAGGTCAAGTTGTTTACTTGCGTCCACTTACTCGGCTATAACGCGTTTCCTAAGATATTGGAGTACAGGCCTTATTCCTATTAAGAACTAGTAAGGATGCCCAACTCTTCGTATTACTTGGCACTCAATGTAATTGTCACCACTTAGCATTTGACGTCCTCCGTGTTGCCCGATCGTGACGTCTGTCCCTCTTATCTTCTGTCTTGTTTTGTTGTGCGCCCCGTCCGCGCCCCGCTCGCCCGGGGCAGGCCGCGTGCGTCAGCCACAAGTGTGCCGAGAGCCCCGTGGGAAGGGGACCCCGACCGGATATCCGGCGCGCATGCGCGGGGTAAAACTCAGCGGTTGGGTCCGGAAACACGTGCAAGTCTGTCCCACCGTTAACCATTTTCCTTCATCCATTTGAATAACCATTTCTGGTCGAAATGGCTCCAATCCAAACAACCCAAAGCCAGATTCGATCCTGAAAGTCCTTACGCGGGCTAACGGTCGGCGTTCGGCCCATCAGGCGCCTGTAGTTTTGCCCCGCCGTTTTTCGCCCTCCTTTATCCCATGGCCCTGGAGTGATACGTTCTGGTCGAAAGGGTTCTAACCCAACCAATCAATGAACCAACCGTGAGTGAGACTCGCACGGCCCACATAGCATTGGTTGTGAGTCAGTTGGCGACCGCTATGCCTGAAAATCGTGCTCACGAACATCAGATATGAACAGCTGGTAGCCTATGTTATTGTTGGCCTTGAGCGATGCATGGCCAATGGGTGGCAAGATTTGAATGACGTTTCTTGGTATCATGCACGCATGAGTGACCTTAAAGTGTAGTCTGCACGAAATAGTTTGCGCATATTTGCTGCGTGATGCCCAGGAACTAGAGGGGTTTAGGTCTTGCAGCAAGTGCTTCACATTTGTGTGGGGTTTTGAACTGATAAGGCATTTTAAAGGTTATCGGTGCATTTCACAGTCTTGCTGTTCTTAAGACCTAATCCCGTCTAGTTTCTGAGCTTCACATCCGGGAAGATGTGCAAATTATTTTGGCGAGACTATTTCAAGGTTACCCAGGCACCCATGACGCCTTAATAACGTCATTCAAATCCTGTTATTTCATTGGCCATGCGGCGATCAACGCCAAGAAAAATACAATTGTTGAGTCGTTCTTATCTGGCGTTCGCGAGCACGATTTGCGGATAAAACGACCGCCAATGGGCTTTCCATCAATAGTGTGCAGGGAACGATGACGTAATCGAATAGTGGCGTGTGGAGGAGTATATTTACTAAGCGGAGCAATTGTGCTATCAAGAGCAGTCTTTTCCACTTAAAAGTATACAAAAAGTTATAGGTGAGCTTATTGTATCATATGTGATGCTTACTTTAACAGCTTCAAGCGTGGAACATCCCTCTCAAGAAAAAACGTACATTTTGTCAACCTCTATGTGCACCACATACTGATGGCCACTGTCAGCAATTGAAACTGCAACGCCTATTCTCGCGACATTGTAAGCATTGACCATGCATTCCTGATTTCCTCGCACCCTTCCCACCTGTCATTGGCTGCGTAGTAAAACACATGTATGTCTGTGTTCAGCACATCCGCTAATGCAGCGCGGTTTAAATAGCGCAATTTCCAAGCTTCCTTCCCAAATTTCACCGCTGTTGCTGGTATGCTGCCGGGGGCCTGGGCCAGGGCGCTGCGCTGCAGGGCTACCGGCGGACGGGTGTGAAGGCCGGAGCGGGGCGCGCAGTCCCCGTGCGGCCCGTCGGCGCCCTGTGCTGAGCTCATGTCGCTGATTCGCAGGGAGCCCTCCGGCAAAGATGACCGCAAACTGGTGGACCGCAGCGTTAGGGACCGGCTGGGCCCCAAGCGCCCGAGAGACGGTAATGCTGCGCCGCGCTGGTGGCGTACCAGGGAGCCCGCCCTGAACTAACTGGTCGCAATTATGCCTTGAAACTGCTCTTCAACAGCATTGACGAAATACTGTACTATTGCCTTTTGCCCTTTCCCGGTAAGCCACGGTTTCTGCCTTGTGTAGCAGATCATCCAAGGGATGCCGGAGCGCTCACCTTTGCGTCTATTGACCAGATTACGTCGAGGACCACCGGCTGCCAGACTTCTCCCAGCGTCCCAACAAGCCGCCGATCTGGGGCGAGGATCCGCCGATGAGGAGGGATTACTACTCGGTCAGTACCACGCATGGCCAGTGCCGCCGTCCCTTGCTGCATTCCTTTGACCCACGCAAGCGGCCAGGGGTTCTTTTGAATAGTATGCAGATGCGTGTTATGTGTCTTGGAGATCATCGAAACAGCTAAAACAAATGCAGTGTGTTCATTTGTGCGGGAGAATGGATTCTTGCGAGAGATCTGCATATATCATGTTTCACCTTTCTGGGAATGTTTGTTATAAGGCAGGGGCAGTGACGTAGCCAAACAAGGAGCATGTGGTACTTCGCCCCCCCCCCCCCCCCCCACTCCCTTGTGGGGACGGGCACCCCCTGGGAACGAAAGCCCACTACTATTCACAGATAGAGACGGTCGCCGGGCTTAATTAAAACTGGCCCCACGGACACGGAATAGTGTGCCAAGCCTAGGTACACCAGAACGCAAAATGAAGGCCCCTGTAACGACGAATAGGAAGCCTTCGGGTGAAATGGCCTCAAATTACCCGTTTTGGTCCCCTCACGAGCGAAATCCTGGCTTTGCCACATGGTATAGGACTGGCTAGACGGCTTCCGACGTAATTTATATCTGGAATAAGGCTAGATTTGTACTTTCCATGGGAAGCCTCTCAGCCAAGGATGTGCAGCCTTGTGTGGTGCATTTGTGATATAAGAAATATTGTAGGGCAAGAAGGAAACGGCTTGCTCAAAAGCACCGTGTGAATTTGAGCCATTCACTAGATCTGTATACCCATTTAGTGTAATATCTTTCAATCCGGTGCGTTGAAAATCTTGGGACCACACAAGATATGCTTGCCTTGCAAGTGCCGCGAACTCACGCGCGCTGTTATTAACCTGAGCGAGTATTGACGCCATATTGACTGTTTCGGGAGACTCGTATTTCGGGGGTCACTTGCGTCCGAATGGCTGGCTGGTGGTCTTATTAAGAAATTCCGACCCGTAAAGAGGGCTTCTGGGTGTCATTTAGGGGCCTCACGCGCCGATTAGGGACGCCCTGGATGGTGACGGCCTCTATGCTTGTCAGAGGCCGCCAGCGCTGAGCAGTCGGTCCGGGTTTTGGTGGCCCATGTCCAAAGCACGGACAGGACCCAGTCCCCTATTGCTATTGAAGGCCTGTTGCATTGGTCAGGGCTCGTCAATTAGGGAGCCCCTATGTCGGTCAGGGGCTCAACGTCTGACAGGGCAGGGGCCCAGTCTATCGGTAAAGGAGCTTGGACGCATCTGCGGAATAGGGACGAGGACAGGTTCCTGGATGTCAGAGGATCACTTGCGTTGGGCGGGGCCGTCCGACGACGAATGGATCTTTGAGAGATGGCGATGAGAGGGTGAGGCGTGAGACAGTGAAGTCAGTCAGTCAGAGACCGAACGGGGTGCCATCCGCTCAGTTTCAGCCATGACGCGTTAGGTCGACCTGGGGTCCCTGTGCCAGTTATTGGACCACCGACGCTGGAAGGGGTCAGTGTGCGTCATTTAGGGCTCCTGTCGATTCGGACGAACTGCCACGGCCAGCCTGCGCCAGGTAGGGGACCGATGTGCGATATATCCTGAGGCCTCCGGGAGTGACCAGGGGGCCCGGCCACGTCGCCAGAATCTCAGCCGGTGAGTATCCCAGTCTGAAGCGGAGGACCTTTTAGCCCCTGGTCGGAAAGGACACTGTGCTCGCTAGCCTTCTACAAACTAGACCCCTTGTTGGGGAAGATGAAGTGTTGTGGAAGGAAGTGATGAAGTGTAAAACGTGAAGTGTTTAATAACGTAAATCGGACGGGGAGATGAACTTGCATTCGCAAGGACAGTAAGTTTTTGGTGAGGACGACCATCCTTTCGCAGGATCGACTAGTAAAACGATAAATGGCTTTAAGCACGCTCGCTCGCGGTCTGTAGGAGCAGAAACATTGGTATCCGGCTTTTTCAGTTTTCACACGGGCACGGACAGCCGCTGACTTAGTCGCGGGTCGACGCTGGGCGGCGCTGGGAAGCTGCACCGCCAGACGTTCGTGGATGTGTTAGGATTGTGAGCGCGCATGCTCCTTACTTTTTCACTGATATTGGGACTGATTTGAATTATAAATGGTCAGAAGAAAGGATGAAGATCATTGCATCGACGTATGTTCAACCTATGGGCGAATGGGTCATCGTCTGTGTGAAACCCCGAAAAGCTTGGTATCGCCCCTGATGGTCAATCATTGTGAAATTAATGGCACCGGCGGCTTATTCAAGCTTGTCATTTCCGGCGTGGTCTCTTCACTTGGTTTTTTATTTGTGGCTTGTTTTTGTTAAAGAAGGCAACGAATAAAAATAAGACGAAGAGAATTGGTCTGCTCGAGATCAAGTTGAGGAAACCTGGTGATTTCACTGTGTTGGGGGAGGCTTTTCACCAGCAGGGGTTCTCTGTCAGCCCACTGCACTGTTCTTGCCGAGATTGGCGGTGCCCTGGTCATGTAGAGTCATTACGGCACAGTTTTAGACGAAAGAAAACACGCCGGAACAATATATCGAGTTGAATTGGTCTTGGGATCACAATTTCCCGCTAGTTCCAGGAAATTTGAATGGCAACCCGCGATGGCGAAAAAGAGTAGCTTCGCTTCATTCACTTATTTTGAGTGGTGACGCCCTAAGCTTGAAGGAAGTTTAGTACGTTTGCACTATTGTACGTTTGAGGAATTGATGATGTAGTCTGGTCGCTTAAGCTCATGCGGCCAGTTACAGCGGCTACGGAAGGTGGCCTCCTCAGAACCCAGTGATTGCGTGGGCTGCTGATACCCGCGGCCGGTGGCCGTGTGAGCTGTCGATATCTCTGCCTACTAACTGTGTGGGATGTCGATGCTGGACGTGAACCCGGCGTGCCCTGCTGGCAGCACGAGAACCGGGACAACGGCTACCGCGGCCGCGGCCGTGGCACCTTCAGACCCAGAGGACGCGCCAGGGGACGAGGTAAGATCCACACTGCGCCTCTTGACGGCGCGCTTGCTCTATGGCTGTTGGTTCCATTCGACTTTATCTTGCGTTCCGTTTGGCCCGCAAACGCCCATAGGTATGTCGCCGCATGACATACTATGGTACGGCATGCTGTGCTTGCCTCGCGGGGAAGGATGCCATGCCCATCGGCCTGACCACCGAAATCCGCAGCAGAACTCGTCTCGCGGTGGAATTTCATTGGATGATGTGCGAGGCCGCCATGTGGGCACGGTGGGCGCCAAATAACCACTGCGGTCGGCGCGTCCGAAAACAAATGTGCGTGCACGGATGTTCAAACACGACCGTTGTATGGTGTTATGACCGATTGGTACGAGACGTCCCGATGGAGAGACGTGTCCGGCCACCGCCGGGTGTCGTTTGGTCCCAGCTGGGACCACTCGATGTCTGCCGTGCGGCAGTTATTGTCGCCGCCATGATGTGTATAACCAAGCAAAGCGCGGCAAGTCTGTTCCCACGCCGAAAGCATTGTGCACGTTGACGCCCTCTTGGTGGTGACCCCGGCCAGATCACTGACCGTGCCGCTGTCGGCCAGGTCACATGTCGCCGATGTCTTGGCAACACGACAAGTACGAGGCGTACTGAAGCCGGCCAGCCGGGCGACGCGGGCCGCCGGCTCCTGCGGGGAAGACCGTCGATTGCCTCGGGCGCGCCAGACGGCTTCTATGATGTGACATGTCGTTTAGTGTACGTCGCAGTTCGTTCGCGTGAAATTCAAGCGCACGGCGACCCGTGTGCCTGCGTTATTTTCTCGACACCAGCCAGTCACCAGACATCAGGCTAACGCCATTGCCTCTCTCGATAATACATCCATCTAACCGCCTGAACCGTTTATTTTCCGATCCTCTGCGTAGGTACGGTGCATTTTCTCGGATACAGTAGGGCCGCGCCGGGGCCGGCGGAGGGCGGCGCCTCACTCGGTGGCCATGTCGTCGTCCTTCTTGCCCTGCTCCTGCAGGGCGCGCACGAAGGCGCCCAGGTCACCGGCGGCGGCCGCCGACACAGCCGCGTCGCCCAGGTCGAACTGGCCGATCACTGGCGCCAGCTGGCCGGACTGCAGCGCCGAGGAGAACAGCGACAGCGCCTGCCGCCAGGCGGGGCGCCGCGTCACCGTCAGCCGGCGACCGGTGGCGACCCGCCCCTCACGGGACCGGGTCACCGCACAACCACATCCACACCCGCACGCACCGGCGCGCCAGCGACGCGACGCGCCGGGGCGCTACGCCGCCGCGGCCAGCGGCCTCACGGCTTCCATCCACCTACAGCCGTTTGGAGAAATCAGCCTTGGACGTCCAACAGCGTTAGATGTGTCAAGTCTGGGAGCGACTTTTACGGTAATTATGTGCGTACCGTCCGTGCTATCATGCGTGTTACCGTCATTATGTGCACGACTAACATCGGAGGACGCGGTAACTCTGGTTTCTGAGTGTTCACCTATCGGTGTAAAAACGGGACCCACAATTGCGGATTTGGATTCATGTGCGGCATCTGGGGCGGGCTGCGCGTGTGTTGATAGGACCGGCGCCCCGTCGGGCGAGCATTACCTGCTGGAACTGGGGACTCTGCAGGGTACCGCGCAGGTTTTGGGCGGGCGGCAGCTGCTCGTTGTTGCCGATCGACGGCAGGAACTGCTGCAGCCTCTCCAGGAAGGCGGGGTTGGACAGCACCGGCTGCAGCGCCTCGGCCGTCATGGCCGACGACAGGTCCACCTCGCCGCCGGCGCCGGCTTCGGCTGGCTGGGGCACGTTCATGTTGGACAGGATGCTCTGCAGGTCGCTGAGCTGGACGGCCGGTCCGGCAGCAGCAGCGCGGCAGCAGCGGCGGCGGCGGCGGGCGGCGGGCGGCGTGGCTGCGGGCGACTCGGCGGCCGGGGCGGGCGCCGGCGCGCTGGCGGGCGTCGCCGAGGGTTGTCGTCGTCGCCGTCTCCGCGGCACCGCTGGAGGCCTGGGCCGCCGCGCGGCTCCTACGGCACGACCGGGTGGGCGCAGTGAGAAACCCGAACGCAACGCCGGGCCCGGGTAAAGACGGCTGGAACGTGCAGCCCCTCCACAGAACCCTGCTCACTGCATAACATTTGGTGGCTTAGCTGCAAATGGAAACTTGACAACGCGCAACAGGCAAAAGGAGGCGAACGAAAAGATGCCTCATCCTTTTCTTCCTAATTATCCCGATAGCCTTCTATTCAGCACAACACACGTCTCGGCCCAAAATAGGTCTGCTTATTAGCATTGCAGCCATGACGTAGGCCGACGACACGATATCAAACAGAGTCCTGGCGACTGTTGGGTTGTTTATCAACGTATGTCGCCGCTAGGGCCAGTATTCTTGCCACGTCTCGGCACGATGGGAGTTGGTGCGCACAGCGCCCTGGGGCCGCCCTGCCGATTAATTTCTCCCAAAGCTGATGGCCCGCTTATATGTATGCATAATACGATCGACACCAGTCCAAAACTGGCATCAATCTGTATAGTCATCGCCGAAGGTATCTGACGTTCACTTAACGCCATTCCCCATGTGGAGGCATCAGCACCCGTATCAAGACACGCGCAGCTGCCGCCGCATGGCTTCACTGCCGTCCCATCTGAATGATCCGCACTGGGTGTCGCCGCTCGCTTACGAAACTCAGTGAAGGGGAAGTGCACTAGACCAGCGATCGTATGCCCCTCGCTCGTGTAAGTCGGTGAAGGGAGAGGCGCACCCCATCAGGGGGTCGTGTAGCTATCGCCGGAGCTGTGACCCGCCAGGTGGCTCGGCCTCCGCTCACGCACAGTACGGTACAGCGGGAGAGTCTACACATGGACCAGCGCATTCTCAACGGCTATGTTTTTCATCGTTGGGACAATGCTCTTTATTCAAACTGGCTTACGTGCCTTTAAAACGTAAAAAAGCTGGGATTCGTGATGACGTTATTGAGACACGCCAGAGTGGCGCTACATGAAAAGACGGCACGGCGCTATATGGAAAATGTCTACCTTCACTTTCGTTAGGTTCGGTTCAGGTTTAGCTCAGTTCAACCCGGTCTGGTTCGGTTCGAACTGGATCGAACCAGACGATCGGAATGCATCGGGGCAGAGCGATTAAACTGGATCGGGGCGTGTCGCAGTTGGTTCGGGTCGGGTCATGCTGTCACCACCGGACCCGGCCACTCGCCGCCAATCACCGCGCGAGGCCGCCCTCAGGCGCGGCGAGCATAGTGACCACGCCAGCGGCATGCATCGATAAACAACCCAAAAATAAATACGGCGAAAAGTAGTGTAAAAGAACGAACCTTGTTGACGCACCCCTACGGTTACTGAAAACAAACAACAATGATTTGAAAGTGATGCTCCGAGGAGCCCCACAGTACACATCCTCACATCCTCAGTTCACGGGTTGTACACACGGTACAATGTCACTGTGGTCAACACAACACAAGCTATAGAACAGAAAAAGGAAACAACGCAAGAGTCCTCTGTGGCGCAGACGCCTACTAGCATGACAGCAACAATCTTCAACGAGAATTTACTAGGAATGTTCGCTTTTAAAGGGAGGTGTCATCTTTTACGTCAAGTACTAAGTCGCAAGTGGGCCTGCAGACCAACAGCACCAGCTGCACACAACCAATACCGAATTTGTTCTGATAAGTTACAGTATCTGCCCGAACGAGCGACAGTTGCAGAGTTCTAAACCGTTCAGTGTCTAACTTGTTCATCATCCTGCCGATCAAATCACCGTACAACCAAAGCTGTCAGACTTTCGGGCATGTCAAGAACTTATGCCGACCGAATGCCATATTTTAGTCATTATGATCCTTCGAATTTACAGCGAAATAAGGTATGGGCGCCTAAATTATAATCTTTTTCGTTACAGCGCCGACGCTTCACGACGTTTCGCGGCAGGGTCTGTTCGGCCTTCCAAACAGGAGTTCTGCGATCCGCTTCCCGCCAGCGAGCTGATCGTGACGGGGTATGGTCAGAACGGGATGGTGCTGGTCAACCATTTGACCACTTTTTAGACTAAATGTGATGAAAATTGGCTGCTTATCTGACGTTTTGGGTGAGCCACGTTCACTTCCTACTATGATGTGAGGACTTTGATAGCCAGTCCCATGCATTTCTTGAACGAGTTTCGCAGATGCCCTTCGATGGTTGCAGTGGCCTTTGAACAACGGATTACGAAGATGGGATGCGACGCGTCTTTCAAAACGTACAGCTCTGTTCCAAAAGGTGTACATTCCGCAGGCAGTAAGAATCATTTAGACTGCAGATGGGACGAGTCACACAGCAAACTGACAAGGTTAAATCAGGTGTGAAATTGCCGAAAAGTAGCTTTCAAACGCCTAGTAAAAATGCTTTGCTAAAACTGGTTTGCTGGCTTAACTGGAGGTCAGACTAATCCATCTACTATCCAGCTTGTCTGCAATAATAGCTTAGCATAGTCCGATGCAGCCTGTCGCGATCGCAAGCCTTTAACTAGCATCCAGTAACCCGATTGCGTTAACATGGTCTCGAACCACACACAGCTGCCACATACAGTATTGTAACTCACCTGTCACGACATGAGGACCTGGTCAACAAGCAGTACTACTAGCAAACCGAACCGCCAAATGAGTGATCAGCAAAAACAGAAAGAACTCGTTTAGAAGAAAAGCAGAAAAAACCATCTACTACGATGTTGTCAGATGCTGAGCGACGGACCGTCATCGTGCAAGAGATAGCGGCCGGCCGGGTGGCTGCCTCACTGACCCGAGCAAGCCGGACAGGCTGCCGCCCACGCTGCCCTCCGCTCAGCAGGCTGATCAGCTGCTGTGGCTCATGCCGCTCAGCAGATTCTGCAGGTCCGTCTCGCCTGAAACTGTCAGCACAATCGGCGGGCGTTCCGGCAGCAGGCCCGCGCGGTCCTGGACGGCCGGCGCGGCCCAGCATGCGAATGGCCGGCGTGCACCCGGACGGCCGGCCGCGGGCCCGCATGGGTCCAGGCGCACCCGGACGGCCCGGCGCGGCCCGCATGGTCCGGCGTGCACACCGGACGGCCGGCGCGGCCCCGCATGGTCCAGGCGCGCACCCGGACGGCCGGGCGGGCCCGCATGGTCCCGGCACGTGCACCCGGACGGCCGGCGCGGACCCGCATGGTCCGGCGTGCACCCGGACGGGCCGGCGCGGCCCGCATGGTCCGGCGTGCACCCGGGACGGCCGGCGCCCTCTCGGGGGGAAGGCGAGCGGAGACAACATGCAGTGTGGCCGTGGAGTGAGCACGACTCGCGGGGTGGACTCAGGATCGTAACATTTTTTTTTTCGTAGCATGTACTCTGAACCTAAAGCCGCCTACTTGAAGCGCTCGAAAAATGATTTGCTTTCACTAAGAAGTGCGATTCGCCAGACCACGGTAAATTACCAAGGGCATAAAATCCCAACTTGACTCATGTGGCAGATCGCCTAACGTAAGAACATCTACTTCTCCTCAACTTGTCTAGCCTTACAAGAGCCCTATCATACTGCACGTTGATGACGACTCATCACCAACGAGACTGAAACCTCCGAAGCTGGAGATATTTGTCCACATGAAACGAGCTCTCTAGGCCCACCGAGATTAGACAGATCCGAAGGCAGGGCGGCTGGGTGGACACGTTGGACCGCGAGCTGCCCGGCGTCGGCGGGTTGTTCAGACTCTCGTTGACCTTGGTGCAGTACTCTTCATCTTTGTCCGTTTTGGGTTCCTGCACACAGACAGAGGGGGAGTGAATCCCTGTCAGCGTCCAAATGACAACGGAGAGCTAGCATACTTGAGGCACCCATTGACTGGTTTGAAGCTTCATAAAACACCATGGACCAATTCAACTTCATATCTTACTGTCTGCTAGGAAAAATCATACAACGTGTGCAAACCCCAGCGCCTTATTGTGTTTACCAACGCCTAATTGTGTTATACTGTCTTGTAATTGGCCCCCATTTGATGGCTTAACTAATCATCACCCCAGTCGTTCGGGACTTGACACTCGTGGCCCTGTGGATGCCAACTTCCCAATGAACCCACCTGCCCAGCCTACCCTCAACACTTGCCCAACCTCCTGTACCCACGTACCTCTGGGTCAGTGTCATTAGAAAATAAGCTTTCCTTTATACCTTCCCATCACGGCGTGCCACTACGGGCCATTTTAAATGCCTGAGTGCGTCGGCTACAAATGCAAACGCTGATATGAACGCTCTGGCACTGTGTCCAGCCTGACCAATTCACGAGTTTCGATATTCAGACAGTCAGACAAAGATGTACCTGCATCCAGAAAAAGAACTTTCTTGATGACGACTTGAACTTCAAAATGTACACTCTTCCCGTCGTGCACTGGGGAACCTTCTTGTATTCAATATCATCCGGGAAAATAATGAGATCCTGCAAGCATCAGTTATTGGAATCAACCATGCAACAGCAGAGTGTACCGCAGAACCAAGACCATAGATCACCACGATAACATGCACAATGGACGCTCAAAAGTTTCTGAGAATGTCCCTAGTAACCGACATAAATCACAAGAATGCTCAACACCAAAAAAATCAGCTAGCTAGCCACACTTACATTGAGGCATGATTTAAACGCCAGTTGTGACACCAACCACGATCAAATGCATTGTAACAACTTCACACACAATAGCAGCCACTGGGCTGAATTGGTTTGTAAAAGTAAACGCTGTATTAGTGATATGCGACACCACATAGCTGAGAGACGAACGGTTTCTAATGAGTTTCTGGGGCCTGTCGTGGCCGTCTTCATACGCTGTTTGTAGATCGAGCCGCTCCTCACTGACCA